CTGATATTCAGAATGAAGAGGGAAAAAAAAAAAAAAAGCCTTAATTTTAATTTTGATGTCCCTGCCTTTATATTTCAATCAGAAACTCCAGCTATACTTGGCTCCCAGAGACGAGAGGTGGTTTCACCAGCTGCGGGTCCTTCCAGGAAAGGACAAAAGTTACCTCTTTACTCCAAAAGTAGGAAATCACCTCAGTTTTATTTACCATTCCATGGCCAAGGGTGAGTGTCTTCCCCTCTGAAGGCCACCAGGATGAATCCAACACATTCACCCAGGAACTGGGTAATTATACAGGGAGCCTCCTCCAGTTAATTCGTCATCCAAGAGCACCAGGGGCAGCTGCTCACCTGGGATTATTTAGGTAGTGATGGAGGTGACTTACCTAATTCAACAACAAAAAATTAAATTCTTCACCTCTCTCTCCATAGTTTCATTTGCCTTGATTGGAAAATCTGGGATAGCTTTGTCAGGAGTAAAGATATGCTGGAGGGGACCCTTTCTGAGGGAGAGCTGTAGGAAATGGTTGATGTCGGAGGAGGCAATAATTTAAAATACAGGGAATTATCACTTCAAGTGGCATATGGTTGGCCCAGCCTATTGAAGAGAAAAAGAATAATTCATAGGGCAGAGTGAACTCAATAATCTAGATTTTATACACCCTGAATCCCAAGAATTCCATTCGTAAAAGAAAAAAAACAAACAAACACAACAAAAAAAGCAGATTAAAACATCATTTCCATCATTTCTAAGTGGGAGGGGAACTTGGACAGAAACTCCTTCAAACATCCAGCGTTACCCCTTCATTTTTCACAGGCTCAGGAGCCGATGCCAAGAAAAAAAAGGATCTAAATGGGACCATCCGACTGCGGCGTCGAGATGATGGTCTTGGTTTATTTATACTCTATTTCCTGCTTGCCTGAAGAAGGAACAAGCCACTTCCTCACCCAAGGCTTGCGAGCACATTGAAAAAAAAAATAAAAATGTTTTAATTTAAATTAAAAAGGAGGCGATATTTCCAACAGCGTCCAATAGATGGTGACGATGGATAAGAAATCCTGATGGGTATTTTTCTAGCCATTTATTTGGTGTTTCCCCCTCCAGCGCTCCCCTTTTGATATCTAAAAGGGGCTGTTATGGCCTTTTCATGTCTCTCCAGACGGATGACAGAGCACAAAGGTAGCTAGGAGACACAAAATTAAGTTGTTCATGTATCAACATGCCTGGATTTTTTTCAGAAGTAGGTGAAATGCAACTTTGGAGAAGGAAAAGGGCATTTGTATGGGTATATTTATACCCTCTCACACTTCTCCAGCAAAAGAAAGAGTCATTTTCAGGCTGGTAACTCTAACATAAAATAATAATAATAATAATAATAATAATAAGTTCTGGTTGCCAGCCAGGGTCACATCACTGTTTTGGGTTATTTTTCACTGTGTTAGAGACTTGGTTTTCGCACCGTTGGCTCAAGTGAGGGCGGGTGGAAAACCCTCACCCAGGACCCAGCCCATCACCTCCAGGTCCCCTCCCAGAGGAGCTCGTTAAGGTGCTGTTGCAGGGACATCTCTTACCTCCCAGCGATGAAATGCTGAAGAAATAGCAAAGTTTGCAGGCGTGGGTGGGGAGGGAAAATCGCGGTTACTCTTCCCCCTGGTGGCATCACGTTTTCACGGCAACCACAAGTTTCTGTTCAGAATGCTGCAATTTCTTGCATAAGAAATAAAGATTTGGGGGTTTTATTACCCTCTTTATTTTTTTACTTGTTTGTTTCAGAGTATTTGGTTTTATATTGTTTTTACTGCTCATTTTTGTTTGGTTTTTTTTATTCTTTTTTCCCTTCAGACCAAAGCGCAAATCTCTGGCTGCAAACTCTACTGATTAATATTATTGTCTTTGTTTTTAACAAACCACTGCGGGCATAAATTAGATAACTAATTAGAGCTTTGTTTCAAGGCTCTGAAAGGCAGAGGGTGGGAGGGGAGGAGGGAAATGAAAGGACAAAGTTCTGTGGTTGCCTAAAAAGAGGTGACAAAGATTAATTTAAGCCTGCAATTTAACTCAGCTGCCTGGTTTCAAAGACAGAGCTATTTAAGAATTTATATTTCATTCACTTGGCTTATTCACCGTACACCATTACCCTGTAACTGCATTAAAACGTCAAAGTTTATCCATTAGATCTTGTGTTTTCATCCTTCCTAAGAAGAGCTTTTCACAGAAGCTGCCTCCCTGATCCAGCTCATAAATCATGGAGAGCCCAAGCGCCCAGTGCCGCCTGTGAAATTATTTGGCATTTCTCTGGTATAGACATTTTTCTGCTAAAAACCATAGAAACGGCATGTCCCGCATCCCTTCATTTACTGAGGCTGGGGAGCCACAAGAAAAATCATAACGGTGTGTTGGCACATTTAACCCAAGAAAATATTCCATTATATATAAATATATAGCATAATACATTTAATATTGTGGTTTTATCTATACACACACACATACATGTGTATAACTTGCTGTTCATAGGAGCAGAGAGCTCCTAGATGTCCTTATTATTAAATTATTATACATCCTGCTCAAACCAGGGCTGACTTCACAGTCACATCAGGTCACCCCTGGCCTCCTCCAGGCTCCTTCTGAACCCCTCCAGGGGTAGAGGCTCCACAGCCTCTGAGAGAAATCCCGTATCAGGAGGGTTCAGAGCCTGACTGTGATTCTTTCTGCTGTTCTCCTGAAAGCATCCTTCACCTCCTGGTTCCTCAGGCTGTAGATGAGGGGGTTGAGCATGGGGATCACCACCGTGTAGAAGACAGAGACCACTTTGTCTGTGCTCAGGGAGTAGCTAGAGCTGGGGCGTAAGTACATGAAGATTGTCGTCTCATACAACATGGTCACTGCTGTCAGGTGGGATGCACAGGTGGAGAAGGCTTTTTGCCTGCCTTCAGCTGAGCGGATCCTCAGGATGGCAAAGGAGATGAAGATGTAGGAGACCAGGATGGTGGAGATGGTGCTGAGCTCAGGGGCATTTGTACAGGTATATTTATACCCTCTCACGCTTCTCCAGCAACAGAAAGAGTCATCTTTAGGCTGGTAACTCTAACATAAAAAAATAATAATAATAAAAAAAAGAAGTTCTTGTTGCCAGCCGGGGTCATATCACTGTTTTGGGTTATTTTTCACTGTGTTAGAGACTTGTTTTTGGCACTGTTGGCTCAAGTGAGGGCGGGTGGAAAACCCTCACCCAGGACCCAGCCCATCACCTCCAGGTCCCCTCCCAGAGGAGCTCGTTAAGGTGCTGTTGCAGGGACATCTCTTACCTCCCAGCGATGAAATGCTGAAGAAATAGCAAAGTTTGCAGGCGTGGGTGGGGAGGGAAAATCGCGGTTACTCTTCCCCCTGGTGGCATCACGTTTTCACGGCAACCACAAGTTTCTGTTCAGAATGCGGTGAGAGGCGGGGAGCTGCAATTTCTTGCATAAGAAATAAAGATTTGGGGGTTTTATTACCCTCTTTATTTTTTTGCTTGTTTGTTTCAGAGTGTTTGGTTTTATATTGTTTTTACTGCTCATTTTTGTTTGGTTTTTTTTATTCTTTTTTCCCTTCAGACCAAAGCGCAAATCTCTGGCTGCAAACTCTACTGATTAATATTATTGTCTTTGTTTTTAACAAACCACTGCGGGCATAAATTAGATAACTAATTAGAGCTTTGTTTCAAGGCTCTGAAAGGCAGAGGGTGGGAGGGGAGGAGGGAAATGAAAGGACAAAGTTCTGTGGTTGCCTAAAAAGAGGTGACAAAGATTAATTTAAGCCTGCAATTTAACTCAGCTGCCTGGTTTCAAAGACAGAGCTATTTAAGAATTTATATTTCATTCACTTGGCTTATTCACCGTACACCATTACCCTGTAACTGCATTAAAACGTCAAAGTTTATCCATTAGATCTTGTGTTTTCATCCTTCCTAAGAAGAGCTTTTCACAGAAGCTGCCTCCCTGATCCAGCTCATAAATCATGGAGAGCCCAAGCGCCCAGTGCCGCCTGTGAAATTATTTGGCATTTCTCTGGTATAGACATTTTTCTGCTAAAAACCATAGAAACGGCATGTCCCGCATCCCTTCATTTACTGAGGCTGGGGAGCCACAAGAAAAATCATAACGGTGTGTTGGCACATTTAACCCAAGAAAATATTCCATTATATATAAATATATAGCATAATACATTTAATATTGTGGTTTTATCTATACACACACACATACATGTGTATAACTTGCTGTTCATAGGAGCAGAGAGCTCCTAGATGTCCTTATTATTAAATTATTATACATCCTGCTCAAACCAGGGCTGACTTCACAGTCACATCAGGTCACCCCTGGCCTCCTCCAGGCTCCTTCTGAACCCCTCCAGGGGTAGAGGCTCCACAGCCTCTGAGAGAAATCCCGTATCAGGAGGGTTCAGAGCCTGACTGTGATTCTTTCTGCTGTTCTCCTGAAAGCATCCTTCACCTCCTGGTTCCTCAGGCTGTAGATGAGGGGGTTGAGCATGGGGATCACCACCGTGTAGAAGACAGAGACCACTTTGTCTGTGCTCAGGGAGTAGCTAGAGCTGGGGCGTAAGTACATGAAGATTGTCGTCTCATACAACATGGTCACTGCTGTCAGGTGGGATGCACAGGTGGAGAAGGCTTTTTGCCTGCCTTCAGCTGAGCGGATCCTCAGGATGGCAAAGGAGATGAAGATGTAGGAGACCAGGATGGTGGAGATGGTGCTGAGCTCAATGACACCGGCCAAGGAGAAGAGGATCATCTCATTGATGTAGGTGCTGGCACAGGACAGAGCCAGGAGGGGAGGAACGTCACAGAAGAAGTGGTTGATGACATTGGAGCTGCAGAAGGGCAGCCTGATGATGAAGGTCATCTGTATGATGGAGTTCAGGACACCCCCGATGTAGGACCCCACCACCAGCCACATGCACAACCTCCGAGTTCTGGTTGCCAGCCAGGGTCACATCACTGTTTTGGGTTATTTTTCACTGTGTTAGAGACTTGGTTTTCGCACCGTTGGCTCAAGTGAGGGCGGGTGGAAAACCCTCACCCAGGACCCAGCCCATCACCTCCAGGTCCCCTCCCAGAGGAGCTCGTTAAGGTGCTGTTGCAGGGACATCTCTTACCTCCCAGCGATGAAATGCTGAAGAAATAGCAAAGTTTGCAGGCGTGGGTGGGGAGGGAAAATCGCGGTTACTCTTCCCCCTGGTGGCATCACGTTTTCACGGCAACCACAAGTTTCTGTTCAGAATGCTGCAATTTCTTGCATAAGAAATAAAGATTTGGGGGTTTTATTACCCTCTTTATTTTTTTACTTGTTTGTTTCAGAGTATTTGGTTTTATATTGTTTTTACTGCTCATTTTTGTTTGGTTTTTTTTATTCTTTTTTCCCTTCAGACCAAAGCGCAAATCTCTGGCTGCAAACTCTACTGATTAATATTATTGTCTTTGTTTTTAACAAACCACTGCGGGCATAAATTAGATAACTAATTAGAGCTTTGTTTCAAGGCTCTGAAAGGCAGAGGGTGGGAGGGGAGGAGGGAAATGAAAGGACAAAGTTCTGTGGTTGCCTAAAAAGAGGTGACAAAGATTAATTTAAGCCTGCAATTTAACTCAGCTGCCTGGTTTCAAAGACAGAGCTATTTAAGAATTTATATTTCATTCACTTGGCTTATTCACCGTACACCATTACCCTGTAACTGCATTAAAACGTCAAAGTTTATCCATTAGATCTTGTGTTTTCATCCTTCCTAAGAAGAGCTTTTCACAGAAGCTGCCTCCCTGATCCAGCTCATAAATCATGGAGAGCCCAAGCGCCCAGTGCCGCCTGTGAAATTATTTGGCATTTCTCTGGTATAGACATTTTTCTGCTAAAAACCATAGAAACGGCATGTCCCGCATCCCTTCATTTACTGAGGCTGGGGAGCCACAAGAAAAATCATAACGGTGTGTTGGCACATTTAACCCAAGAAAATATTCCATTATATATAAATATATAGCATAATACATTTAATATTGTGGTTTTATCTATACACACACACATACATGTGTATAACTTGCTGTTCATAGGAGCAGAGAGCTCCTAGATGTCCTTATTATTAAATTATTATACATCCTGCTCAAACCAGGGCTGACTTCACAGTCACATCAGGTCACCCCTGGCCTCCTCCAGGCTCCTTCTGAACCCCTCCAGGGGTAGAGGCTCCACAGCCTCTGAGAGAAATCCCGTATCAGGAGGGTTCAGAGCCTGACTGTGATTCTTTCTGCTGTTCTCCTGAAAGCATCCTTCACCTCCTGGTTCCTCAGGCTGTAGATGAGGGGGTTGAGCATGGGGATCACCACCGTGTAGAAGACAGAGACCACTTTGTCTGTGCTCAGGGAGTAGCTAGAGCTGGGGCGTAAGTACATGAAGATTGTCGTCCCATACAACATGGTCACTGCTGTCAGGTGGGATGCACAGGTGGAGAAGGCTTTTTGCCTGCCTTCAGCTGAGCGGATCCTCAGGATGGCAAAGGAGATGAAGATGTAGGAGACCAGGATGGTGGAGATGGTGCTGAGCTCAATGACACCGGCCAAGGAGAAGAGGATCATCTCATTGATGTAGGTGCTGGCACAGGACAGAGCCAGGAGGGGAGGAACGTCACAGAAGAAGTGGTTGATGACATTGGAGCTGCAGAAGGGCAGCCTGATGATGAAGGTCATCTGTATGATGGAGTTCAGGACACCCCCGATGTAGGACCCCACCACCAGCCACATGCACAACCTCCGAGTCATAACAGAAGAGTAGAGCAGGGGGTTACAGATGGCCACGTAGCGGTCATACGCCATGGCAGCCAGCAGGAAACACTCAGTCGTCACGAAGACTATGTAGAAGAAGGCTTGGCCCATGCAGCCAGCGAAGGAAATGGTCTTTCTCTCCGACAGAAAGTTCACCAAGGTCCTGGGGGCAATCACAGAGGAGAAGCAAATGTCAACAATGGAGAGACTGCCAAGGAAGAAGTACATGGATGTGTGGAGCCGTGGGTCACCTCGGATGACTACGATTATCCCCGTGTTGCCCAAAAGGGTGATGGTGTAGACCAGCAGCAGCAGCACAAAGAGGGCCACCTTCATCTCCGCTTGGTCACTCAGGCCCTTGAGGATGAACTCCCCCACTGAGGTGTGATTCTGCTCTGCCATTCAGGGCTTCGTGTCTGCTGAGGAAGGGGAGAGCCTGAAAATACAGGAGAGTGGAAACAATTCCTTTATTTATTTGAACTGAAATGGGATAAAGTGGCAATTTAGACCCTGTGCAGTGGATGGACCACACTGTAGCCTTCTCCTCCAAGCTTGTCCTCCTTCACAGTCCAAAGCAAGAGAAGTTGGTAATTTAGACCCTGTGCAGTGGATGGAGACCACACCGTAGCCTTCTTCTCCAAGCCTGTCCTCCTTCACAGTCCAAAGCAAGAGAAGGTCCCTTCTGAAGGGATAACATCCTGGCTTTCCCAAATACCTTCCCCATGTGCAGCGAGTCACTGCTGAGGGTTTCTCATGTTCTACCTGGGGGCAGACCTTCGGGCAGGTCCACTGGTATCTCAGAGTCCCATTTGGTACCTCCCAGGTCGATGCATACAGCAGCAGAGAGGGATCCAGACCAAATCAACAGCTCTGGCCTTGACCTCCCATAATTAAGTTTTTCTCCACATTTGTTTCCCTTTCTCCCCATTTCAAATCAGTCACAAAGTGCCCAGAACAAGAGAGCTCCGTCTATAATTGTAATAGTTTGGATTAAACGTAAAAATATTGTAGCTTTCTTTCATTGGGTTGGGAAAAGACACTGCCATGAAGAAAAGCATCTTTAATTTGTTGGAAGGGAGGGAGTTTTGCATCCTAAAACTCATTCAGGACACGAGGAGTTTAGTAATACAGTCTCAGAAAGCTTGGGGGGGAATGAAGTCAGGGAGACCATGAGCAAAATGTGGGTCCAAAGATGTTATCCCCAAAGACGTAGTGTTGGGGGATATGGTGTAGGGGAGAACGTGGGTCCAAAGATGTTATCACCAAAGATGTGGTGTTGGGGGATATGGTGTAGGGGAGAACTTTGTAGAGTATGGTTGATGGTTGGACTCAATGATCCCAAGGGTCTTTTCCAACCTGAACAATTCTATGATTTTGAACCGGGGTAAGCATCAAACCTTTCCTAGGTACAATTTGAAGAATATACAACTGGGAGACTAAACACTGTAAAATCTGCCTCGATTTCCCCATGACACTCAGAGCAAAAGCACCGGCCCTGGGGTTGGGGGCCCCTCTGTGAAGATTTTACGTGGGTTTAACAAATGATGGATCAGCCTTTCAGTAAGGAATCCCATCGCATCCCTCACTCTGCTCTCATAGCTCATGGAGGAGACCACGACCCACCACAACTTTAATCATGCCTTGTGTTTCCAGAAGTGGACAGGGAGATGGAACCCTGATGTGCGGAGGTGATCTAAGCATCAGGAGGCATCTATGAGTGTTTATGAGCATGAACCAGCTGTAACATGCTCACTAAGCCCAGGCAAAAGTGGGATCCACGAGGTTATCCTGGAATATAAAGTCACAGCTGATGCTCTCCCCCGTGTGCCCAAACAGCAGCATCCGACTGCAAATTGCACCTTGTCTCCAGGTGAACACAAGGTGTGGGGAGACCATTGGCTGGTGGCAAGAGGGAAGGGAATGGTCAAGGGAAAAAAAAAGAGCCAGAACTTGAAAAATCCCTGTTTTAAGATGCTCTGAGGGGAGAAAACCTTCTGAGAGGGAGCCTGATGGTGGCACATCATAGCATCCTGGGGGCCAGGGCACTCACAAGGACTTCTCCCGCCCCGTTTTCAGCAGGAAAAACCCCAGCAGCTCCTGTCTCTCTCTCCAGCTGGAAGAGGAGTCAAAGCCATGGATGAGACCACAGAGCTGTGCTGAGCCAAGCTCATTCCACCAGGTGCCTAAGTTGAGGCACCTGGTTAAGCTGCTCACCCTAATGAAAATGTGAAATACAGGTTTCTCTCCCTAGTAACATGAAGGTCCAGAATAAAACAATTCATTATTTTACAGGATTAAAAACAAGAATCAAAGTCTTACCCCACCAGAAGAGCACCAGGATCAGAAGACTCGTTGAAGAACCATTCTCCATCAGCTGGACATTTCTTTATAGAAATATTCTTTAAAATGAATATCACTTTATTTTGGGGTCAGTGTGTGGGCTAATCTCCCCTGGAGAGCATTCTTCTCTTTTCTTCTTGCAGGCTCCTGAAACATAACATAAGCACCATGATTTCTGATCTTTTGGATTCAAAATTCTGGAGTGCATGCCAGCAGAAATATTTCATCTTCTTTACCCAACCCAGAGGAGAACACCTGGTGTAAACCAGAGCAGCCTCCAGAAAGGTAATGATGGTGCTGCAGTGATTTATACCAGAGCAAAGTATGGCCCCAGCAGAACTCCCCCTGGACCTTTCGGGGTCACATCTACCTGTGGATGGGGGTCACCTCCCTCTTACCAGCTGCAAGGTCTCTGCTATCTCAGATGGCACCACAGGCTGGAGGTGTCCAAGCAGTAAATCTGGGGGACTAACCCTTGGAGCCATCCTCTGGGCTTCCAGGCAAACAAGAACGTCTCTCCTGAGCCTTCCAGAGCCTCCTGCATATTTTCATCTCACGAAGCACTTCACTCGCAGCAACGTGTTGCTTTTGTAGGTCTCTCTGCGAGTCTTTGAGGGCAATGGGCATCTCTCCTGGGGGAGCAAGGGTTGGTCACGGCTTTGGCTACGGCTCAGGTCTCCAAGAGAAGTGGATCTTGTTTGTATACTGGCTGACTCCTTAATGAGAATGCAGGGGAGTCACAACAGTCTAAACTGCTAATAAAGGCGTAGCTGTGCAAAATCCCGTGCTAATTATTGTCACAAATATCAATAACCTCTTTGGACACTTGGCAGCCTCAAGGGCCAGAATCCAAATGAGCCCAAGTTATTCTTCACAAGCCCCTCTGAAGATTAAGGGGAAGGTGAGAAGCTGCATCCAAAGGGCAATTTACTCCAAGTACCTTAAACAAGGATTACGAGCAGTTTAGGCTGCAGTAATTAGCTCTGGACGGGTGCCTGAAGCAGATGGCTGAGATTACAGGAGATGAAGGCTGACCTAAGCCTTCAGGCAATGAATGAGCCTGAAAGGCTTCCAGGCTACTGATGGGTAAGAACAGGAAGGTCTATACAGGACCCAATGTCAGAACATGATTGACAGACAGCCCATTAATCTTTTTTTTTTTTTTTCATTTCTGTGCTCCAAATATTTCCAGGAATATCTGAGCTGCCCATTTTTACCTCCCTTTAGCAGAGATTCAGGCGATTCTGCTGCTCCACCTCTACTGAGAGATCAAATCCATCTCATCCCAACCCGATGTGAAAAGAGATGGTGCTAAACCAGCTCTTTCTGCAAACTTTTTTTTTTTTGGCCAGCAGAAAATTGATAGCAAGTTCATGGTAATTTCAGTGTAATTTGTCTCTGCTCAACACACTCAATAAATATCAGCTTCTTTCAGTGTCTGGAAGATGCCCAGGAGCTTTACAATTCACAGTATTTCTTTCAGTATAGATGTTTTTTCCTGTTAAATAACAGGAGCTCCTGCTTTTAGATGAAACTGACAGCAGGGACGGAGTCACCATATGAACAGCAGCTCATATTTGGATCATATTTTGGTCGGCAGATGAGTTTTATTCATCTATCAGTTGCCAACAACATTAAGAGTAGACATATGAGCCAACTGCCTCAGCCGTCTTTGCAGTCGGTAGAAGTGAAGGTGGTGGTTGAGCCATTCAGACATGGGTGTCAAGGACTATCTGAGACCCACCACACTTCTCTCCTGCTCCCCAGGAGGTCACAAGCCTCCCTGCATCTTGTGCCAGACCCTGTATTCATGTGTCTTATGGTATCTCAGGTAGTACGAGATGGATCAATAGACTCAGTATAGCTCAGAGGAGGATTTGCCATGTCCAAAGGAGACCCACAGGTCTCCATCAGTATTGCTGAGAGCTTGGAGGACTGGCTGAGAGACGGACACATGGGTTGGGTTTGGGCTCACCTTGCTGCAGGTCACTGTGACACATGGACCTAACAAAGAGCTACAGGTGTCCCAGCTTCTCCTCCAGCCTGTGAACCCCAATGGTGTGATGTAGTTGGCCAAAGGAATGGCTCCAGCAGCAAAGCTACAGGACTTGGAGGAATCCCTGAGCTTCTGGAGGAGCAGCTGGAGTCCAGCAGGAAGCCTTCAATGGCACCAGAGCCAGCACAACCAGCAACAGACCAGCACCTGAAGCAGCAAACCCAAATATTGGCAGAGAAGAGCAACACAGAGGGCTGTACTGACCCCAGATGGGTGTTTGGGTTGGATGTAGCTCTACAAATGGGAAATTTTTTTAACAGCTGGGCTTATATTTGGGGACTTTCTGCCTCAACACTTTCACTGCTGCAGGAAATTTTTTTTAACAGCGGGGCTTATATTTGGGGACTTTCTGCCTCAACACTTTCACTGCTGAGATAGGTTTGTTCTCACTAAATCCCTCATCTCCCCTGTATTCGTTATTCACCTTGTTGTGTTTTGCTGCATCTAAGGGTGGTTTATTTTAACAAGGATCTTGATCTTTTGCTCCTTCTAGGGCGGGAGACTAAGATCAGACTTCACATTTACCCATTAAACTTTCAAATTGGCCACTCATATACCACAGCTAATGGTCATTCAGATACAGACAACTACATGCTTTGAGAAAATTAGAGGAAAAATTAGAAAAATTAGTTTTATTGCAAATAATGCACCATGGCTTTACTGTAGATCCTTAAATTTGCATATATGTACTGAAAAATTCCACTGAAGAGTACATTTAGGAACCATCACTGTCCAATACTTAATGTTGTGTGTTAACAATATCATTTGAAGTATTTATTCACCATAAAAAGCACTTTGAAGGATTAAAGTGCAGTAGAAAATTTTTAAAATACCTTTGAATATTCCTTGAGGGGTGGTTGTGGGAGAGGATACAGAGTAGTTCCTCTCAATTTTCCCATTTCCTGCAGCTTTAGGGAAAGTTTTCCTCCTCTCCCCTCCCAACCTCCTTGGGCTGCTCCATGTGTTCTCCTGCCCACTCCCATCCTTCATGGGGTTACCTGAAAGCACCAAAGTTCACCTTAAATCCGTAAATCCCATCTCATGGCTGGAAGAAGTGCTAGACTTGGTAGGGATGTTGTCCACTGCACTGATGAATGATGTCCAGACTGTAGGAGAGGGTGACCATGAGTAGGCTCAGACCAAAGAAAATTGAGAAAATGGTCCAAGTACTCAGCAGAAATCTCACAAATGTGTTATATTGACAGGGTTGAGCCTTGTCATTCTATTTATCTTCAATAGAAAGGTGACTTGGGGTTGCCCAAGGATTGGCACATCCAGGAGAAAACCCAGAACATGCTTGCCTCCAAATATTCAAGGTCAGTTTGGACTGGGGTTTGAGCAACCTGGTATAGTGGGAGGTGTCCCTGCTCATGGCAGGGAGTTGGAAATCAATCCTTAAGGTCCCTTCCAACTCAAACCATTCTATGATTCAGAAACTATCTGAACATTTAGCACCTTTCCTCACAAATCAACCTTTGGTGAGTTCTTCAATGAATACATATTTCTCCTGTTATGAAATGCACTATGTAGAGACAGAAGTTTAACAAATTAATCCCACATGGACAAAGCCAGACTCCAAAATGGACGATAACATACAGAAAAATTATTACAGATTCTCTCCAATTTCAAAAAAAGACCCCAAAACACAGATCATGTTCCCACCACTGCCTGAATGTCAAACCAATTACCACTTTAGCAGGGAAATAACTATTCTCCCCACCGCTCTCTTCAGAGCACTCTTCACCTCCTGGTTCCTCAGGCTGTAGATGAAGGGGTTCAGCATGGGGGTCACCACTGCATAAAAGACAGAAATGACTTTGTCCCTGCCCAGGGAGTAGCTGGAGCTGGGCCGTAGGTACATGAAGAGAAGGGTCCCATAGAAGATGATGACAACCATCAGGTGGGATGTACAGGTACCAAAAGCTTTGTGCTTGCCCGGCACGGAGCCCATCCTCAGGATGGTGAACAGAATGTGGCCATAGGAGATGAGGATGACCAATATGGTGGTGACCTCGTTGAAGCTCCCAAAAACAAGTCCCAGCATTTGGTTGAGGCGAGTGTCAGAGCAGGCCAGTTTTAACAGTGGTGGTCCGTCACAGAAGAAGTGGTCAATGACATTGGGGCCACAGAAGGACGCTCTCAGTACAAACCCCATGAAGACCAAGGAATTAAAGAGCCCAATCATGTAGGACCCAGCCAAGAGGGAAATGCAGACCTTCTGGGACATGATGACAGAGTAGCGCAAGGGGTTGCAGATGGCAACATAGCGATCGTAGGCCATCACAGCCAGGAGATAGCACTCCACAACTACAAAAACAATATAGAAATGCAGCTGCACAAAGCAGCCAGCAAAAGAAATAGTCTGCCTTTCCAATGAGAGGGTCAGCAGCATTTTGGGCATCACAACTGAGGAGTAGCACAGGTCCAAGAAGGACAAGTTGGCAAGAAAGAAGTACATGGGGGTTTGAAGGTGGGGATCAAGACAGACCACGGCAATGATGCCAAGGTTTCCCAGCACGGTGGTGACATAGACAAGCAGGAAAACCGCAAAGAGGGTAACCTGGAGTATGGGGCGATCTGTGAACCCCTTGAAGACAAATTCTGTCACTGCAGTCCAGTTTTCCCCAGCCATCAGTGCAGAAGAGACATACAGTTCAGGGGCTCAGAGGTGATTTCCATGAGATCAATTACACTGACTTGATCTCTTAATTATTAGTGGGTTTTAATCCTGTGCTCTGTAGATGAAAATTTCCTTATGAAACACGGCCAGAACCCCTGGCAGGATGCTCAGTTGGTCCACGACCACCTGGCCAGGCAGGGACTTGCATCTACCATCCTAAGACAGGCTTGGTTTTAACCAGGAAAAGCATCTCTCCTACTTTCAAGCTCTGATTTCATGAAAAGTATAAATCTAACAGTTTTCCCTTGGACATCACCATGGTCTTCACCACGTGCATCATTTCTAACTGTCTGAAGGTTTGGACACATTAAGGGAAGAGCAGCTCACTTTTTTTTTTTAATGTTTGTTCTGATATCACATGAGCTGCAGGAATATTAGTGCTCGCTCTGCCCTTCAGGTTGATGATGTCCCAGAGATTCTTTTTATTATCCTCGGGTTTCAATATGTTGCTTGGGGCTTCTTATTCTAAGTGCTCAGAAACAAAAATCCTGTGGTATTATGGTGTGGTTTTTTTTTTTCATAAGCAATGGCTTAGTTGCTACTTTGAGGAATAAACTGAATTTCAATAACTGCTCTCATCTCATGAGGATAAATACAGAGACAGAAGGGCATGCACATATATCTTGCCCTCTCCAATATCTTCCAGCTTAGCTGGTGACTTGCTAAAAATCAGGGGGTTCCCTTTATTTCTATCATTTAACTTACATTTTAAGCAAACAGTAGCTTCCCACAGACTTTGAAGCAACCAATTAACGGGCCAAATTAAGGTTAGAAAGTAAAATTCCTTTTAGAAAAAAGTTGTAACAGAGCTATGTCTCAAACAGAGATATTTGAGAGCAGTTTAAGTGTAGTTCCCCCTTTTCTATAAGAAAGCCTCAGTTTGCCCTCACGTAGGGCTGGATTTCTTTTTAATTCCCCAGTCCAGTTCTCCACTTGACCCCGAAGCCTCTCACTGCCCAGAGCTCCTGCTCCCCACCGATTCCACCACCATCCACCTGAGATGCCACCTCCTCTGGTTTCCCATCAAAGATCCAGCCTTCTCCAGCCACCTTCTCCGCTTTTGTACCCACCTCTGTTCTTAGTTTCTCCAAGGAGATCATTCAAGGGACAGACAGAACCTGCACCTTTTTTATTTCTGGGAAAAAATAACAATACAGAAAATTAGACAATATCCCATTAAATTCACTGAGTGAATGACTGCATGTGCTCATCTCAACAATAGGATAAAATTATTAATAGGTTCCTCAAAAAGGATTGTTGCTGGGGAGAGGGTAAACACATAAGACATACTAAAGATTCCTTCCATATACACATATATATATTTGTCCCACCATAACTCTAACCAAGGATATATTTTCCTAGTAGCCAAGGATATATTTTTTCAAAGAGAAATGGCAATTTTTGCTCTTGTCACAATTGGTGCTACAATTCTTTGGCATTGCCTCTAATTAGATCTTTCCTACCTGTCTGCATGACCACATTGCACAGAATCACCCCTGACTTCAGGGAAAAAAAAAAAAAGAAAAAAAAAAAAGAGTTTTCCACCTTCTATCTTGGTTTATAAATCAGATTTTTTCCCTTCAAAGAAGAAAGCTTATTCAAGCCTCCCTTTCTTCTCTTGTTTTTCAATTCTACATGGTGCTGGATGTCCACGTATGGCTACGTCTCCCAGAGGCTCTTGTCTTCTCTATTTATTGCTTTCCAGCTTAAATGGTTGGAAGAAGCTGCCACCAGCCTCCTTGGGCACATCACCCCATGCCAATCACTCTCGCTTTTTCTCCCCTTTAGATATAATTGGAGAGTTCCCTCAGTGACTTCAAGAGTTAGAGGTCAGGAGCTATTACCTCCTCAACCCTTGAGATTGGTTGCCTTCTGGGAGCCAGAATGCCCCAAGATCAGAGACTGCTGTGAGGTTGTTGAGAAGCTGCATCTCCTAGAGACGTCTCGGCACCTTGTAGCTATGGAAACCCTCAAGCTGGAAAGATTTACCAATCTTTACAAGGCCTGGAAAAATCCTAAATAATACCCTACACACTTCAAAAGCAGAATGTTGCCAACCTACCAACAACCCTAATTCTAATATTAAATTAGGAAATAGCAAAGGTAATAAGGACTAGAGAATAATCATTAAATATAACATTAAATTTCTTTATCTGTTTCTCTCACTGAGAATAGTGTCTCCAATGTAGGGACAGGGTCTGGAAGGAGAGAAACCAGCAGAGGAGAGAGCACTGGCTGCACTGTTGGGTGCAGATGGTGATGGGTTGTACCCTACCTGGAGGCTGGGGTGTGCCACAGAGGGTTTTCCTCTTTAATCACTTTAAATAGATCCAAAGGGGACACCATGGTGTGCAGGGGACCATCTCACAGTACCTGAGTAAGGAAGGTAGTGCAGACCCAGAGACCTGGGCCAAATTCAGCCAAGACTCCAGACCATCGGGCAAGCTGGTGATGATGAGACACATCCAAGGTCAAGCCAAGTCCATCCAATGGTCGGGGTTGGGTTCAGCAGTTACTCAGCAGGTCCACAATCAAGCAAAGGTGTGGATCAAAGGAGTCCAAAGGTGTGCACACCCAATGCTAAACTGGAAACCAGCACTCCTCCAGCACAACCTAAGAGAGGAACATGCTCCCTGGGCTGAGCTTAAATAGAGCTGATGGGCAAATGGGCAGCAGGTGAGGATGGTGACCCCAGGTGAGCCTGGTCAGGGCCGTTAAGGCCTATTCGTTCACTCTGGGAGAGATTAATCACTGTCTGAAAACCATTTAATTCTACGGAAGCCCAGAGTCACCAGTTCAAGTGTGGACATCTGTCCCATAGGTACCTAAATGTGGATCATCCCATCCTTCTTGCAAAACTGGGCTGCCCAGTGTCCACAGAGGGACACCAGCAGCTCCAGAGATGGAGCCAGTGGTGCGTTATGAACCGTTTGGGATTCCTCTGAAACATCTCAAATGTCTCTAAACCCATTTTCATTCTGTCATCAAAGTCAGACCCAAACCTTCACGTGGTCCACAAGTACCTCTGAAGCACCCTATGATCACCACTGCCGCTGTGTATCTGTGCTCAGCGACGGCTCGTTCACGTGATGTCTTTCAGATACCCAAAACAGCCCAATGGCTTTCAGAATTGCATTTCACAATTTATTTTTTTTTTTGCTTTTATTTTTCTTTTGGTAAACCTTTCCATGAGGAATACCCTGAGGACCTTCTCCCAGGAGAGCATGAGGGACCTTATTTACAGCCGTGTCACCCACAAGCTATTGGAGCCTGAAGAGGAGCACATCTCTCTTCACATCAGGTGGTTAATAGGTTAAGCGGACGCATAGATGTTCTCCACTTTCGGGATAAATCCTTGGCTCCCATCACTCAATAGCAGCGAAGGTGAAGGAGGAACCAAGAGAAAGCAGAACCTCACCTGCGTTTATGCAGTGGGTTTTCTTCTTCATGTTCTCATGTCTTCTTTTTGGGGGGATCTGTCAGAAAACAGCCTTACCAAAGTAGGTTTTCTTTATGATAAGAGGGAGTAATGGCTTGTGCAAATTGCTTTTCTTTTACTTAGGCAGCTTAAAGCAAGATGAACTGATTTATGCACGTGTTAAATAAGGACGAGTCTTATTTTGTTATAAGGAAATGCAACCTTCCCAGTTGTCAGCAGAGTATAGTCATTAACAAATCAGTCTTTGGAATCAGCACGTCTTAAAATTAACTCAGTTTTCAAGCGAGCACCTTAACTTAGTGCCCAGGGTTTTAGGATGCTTCAGCGTGCTCAAGCTCATAAAGGTGTAAATTACGAATCTACCAACATGAATTTTATCTGTTGTAAATGATATATAATAATTTGATAAATGTGGTTCAAAGACTGGAATAATAATTAAAAGCCAAGGGAGAATGTCTGGAGGTCATTAACATTGTATAATCTGTGATTTCACTGGGACTGTGACTTTCTCTCCCTCCAGTTTTATGTTTTTTATGTTTACAAAGTTCCTCTGAGGTGTATTCTGAAACAAATTTCTTTCAAACTGCAAGGGAATAAAGATGGATTCTTTTCTTAAATCTGAAGACACACATGCTGGAACAAATCCATAGTTTTAAGTATCCAAGCACAGGAAAAAAAATTGACATCTGGATTGCTTCAACTTACTCCCTGTTCTTTGCTAAGTACCTTGACTGAAAGACCAAAAAAACATACAATTTGGGTTTAGAAAATGCAGCCGATTATAAAAAAAAAAAAGTGGTAGTTAGACTGGTGATTGCTTGGAGTGAAATATGGTCCAAAGGTGAAAACCTCTGTTTTCTCATTTTGATATTTTTCTTACTTTTGCCTCAGCAGGTAACATCAGTGTTATTAAGCTTTAGATACCTCGTCTACCTTTGTTCTTTAGATAACGGAGAGGAGAGATATCTCAGAGCAGTGTTTAACATAGGGGAGATCGATGTCTTTTTTCCTGTAAAACAACTATTTCATTAACATGGGCAACAGGGTGTAAATGCTTTGCATCTCTCGGCCATAGCAATTTTTTTTTGCAGAAAAGGCCATGGAAAGGCTAATTGGAGTATGATTTTTAAAATCAACCCTTTTGACGAATATTTACCATCATCAAACATTTTTCAAACGTATGTTTTCTATGATTTCTTTTTAAATTTTTTCAGTGAAAAGGTCATCAGGTCTAATCCTTTTTTTTAGCAAGACATTGGCAAAGGTAATGGCATTATCTTCCAGCTGCACTGTGGATGACGGGGACATACAGATATCCATATCTCTAATGGTATATGATTTATTTGCACTGGAGGTGAAATCTTCTTTAATAGAGCTGGTATTTTCCATAGGAATATTCTGTTCAGACAAAGCTGCTTTTTTCCTATAGAAATCTCAGTGCAATCAGTAAATATTTATTTAACAAAGGAACCATTTAAACTCGGCAAGAGTAGGGAGGAAAGGTTCTATTTTTTTCTTCTTTTAATTTTAATACCATCTTTTTATTGCAGGTACAAGTAAGGCAAGAAAATGTTTATGAGATCTAACCACACAGTCACTAAATTTGTCCTCCTGGGACTTGCTGAGAGCCCAGAGGTTCAGCCCCTGCTCTTTTGGGTGTTCCTACTCATTTATGTGCTCACCCTCTTGGGGAACATTGGCATGATGACCCTGGTTAGGACTGACCCGCGCTTGCACACCCCCATGTACTTCTTCCTCCACCACTTGTCCTTTGCTGACGCTTGTTACTCCACCGTCATCATGCCCAACATGCTGGTGTCCTTCATCTCGGGGAACAAAGACATTTCATTCCCCCGTTGCGTGGCTCAACTTTACAGCTTCGTTTTCTTTGGGATTGTGGAATGCTACCTCCTGGCCGTGATGGCGTACGACCGCTACGCTGCTGTCTGCAGCCCCCTGCGCTACATGGTCATCTTGCCCAAGACCGTCTGCATCTGGTTGGTCTCAACCTCCTACCTCCTGGGCTTTCTTTACGCAGCGATATACACTGGCTGCGCATTCGGGGGGTCCTTCTGCAGTTCCAACGTCATCGACCACTTCTTCTGTGACATCGGTCCCTTGCTGAAGCTCTCCTGCTCTGACAGCTTCCTCAGGGAGAAGGTCATCTTTGCCTTTGTTAGCCTAAACGGGATTAGCACCAGTGGCATCATCTTCATCTCCTACCTGTACATCCTCTCCGCTGTCCTGAGGATGCACTCGGTGCACAGCAGGTCCAAAGCCTTCAACACATGCGTCTCCCACCTGATGGTGGTCTCCTTGTTCTATGGGACAGGGTTCTTCATGTACCTGCAGCCCAGCACCAACCACAATGGCCCAGACAAGGTGGCCGCCGTGTTTTACACGCTGGTGACCCCCCTGCTGAACCCCTTCATCTACAGCCTGAGGAACAGAGAGGTGAAAGAGGCTTTTATGAAGCATATGAAGAGATGTCTCTCATCTTCATTGAACCAGGGAGGGAGGGTCTGAGCCTGTGTAGGAGCAAGTAATTCTTTGGTCTCAGGGAGGCAGACCTTATAATAAAGTTTAAATTTGATTTTACCTTCCCCAAAGTTAGCATTTTCTTTCCCTGTCTTGTGCTAATGCAAAAATGGGGGAAGACTCTGGGACACACCGTGCTGTATTTTCCTTCTATGTTGGTAAGGTATAACTGGGGGGGGTGGTGGTGTAAATTTGTGGGCTTTAAATTTGAAACACTGTACTTTAATTCTAAACAGACTAATTAAACGGACACAGAGAGCTGCAGGGACTTGGCTGAGACTGAAACACAGTTAACCCAGTCCTCCACGATCACTGCATCTTACAACAGTGCCTCAAACCCACACTTATTTTAAGCCTCGTGCAGCTCTGGATTTCAAGACACCTTGAATAAAGCAGGAAATACATTTATCTGAACATAATAAACATGTTCCTCTGAAAGGCACACCAGCTATTTTGTTTGTTCTGTAAGAACTTAGACACAATATTGATTTTAAAAGTATTTTGGCAAGATCTTTGTAATTCTGCAGATGACAGCAGGAAAATCTGCAAGGTGCTTTTTCAGAGGCAGCTCTGATGCCGGTAGGATTAGTCTCAAAGTTACGCCAAATCATTCTGTGGGGTTTGGGTAGCTTTTTAGGCAGAGCAGAAATAAATTAAAAACTTTTTTTAGTCTCATTAGAATTTATTTTACAATGCTTTATTGAAACACAACATTAAGTATCCCTGGACAAACAGCACTCTGTGCCTTCAATGGATCTCCTCAGAAAGATACAGGATATACACACATCCTCAGTGTTTTTATATATGTATTTTTAAATGGGGTGTCTCTGGCAATGAATATTTATTTTGAATCAGGACTTTGCAGTTCCAGCAGTTTCCACGAATCAGCCAAGCTGGGTTCTGTCCTCCAAGACAAGCACTGTGGATCTCGGGCTTCGTATGCTAATTAATTGCTTTCCTTCGCTCCCATTCGTTCGCTTGAAAAGAGGCAGAGGCAGAAAAAAAAATGACACAAAACTTCAGATGAGTTGACTTCAGAGTTCTTGAAGTGGGCATGAGCCAGATCAGAAGGCGGGTACTGAAGTAATGGGGGAGATATTTTCAGTAGACATGTTATTTGTGGCCCAGAAAAAATGCCCCTTCCCTTCCCTTCCCTTCCCTTCCCTTCCCTTCCCTTCCCTTCCCTTCCCTTCCCTTCCCTTCCCTTCCCTTCCCTTCCCTTCCCTTCCCTTCCCTTCCCTTCCCTCTTCTCTTTTTTCAAATCTAAGCTATCTGAAAGCACTGAACAATTTTCTAGCTAATGGCAGTAAAGGTGGAAAAAACAAGTGGAGGTAAATTCTCAAAGCAGAAGGGAAACATGGCCCCTCCATCTGTACTTCTGGAGACTGCTCAGTCAGGGACTGGGACACTCACCCAGCGGTTCTGCACAGAAACCTACCTCCAAATACTCTGGAAAAAGTAGTTTCCACTCATTGCCATCACCATCACCACAAATAATACAGGAACACAACACGTATGGTGTCCTCTGTGGCTGGGCAGGCCACAGAACACCCAGGGGAGCTGAGGCCTCAACTTTGCATCTCCTCCTGCTTGAAGGAGAGCTGCTGCCCACCCTTGATCAAGTCAGAGGGGGCTTTGCCCGGCCACAGCCCTCCAAACCCAAATACTCTGGAAAAAGTAGTTTCCGCTCATCACCATCACCATCACCACAAATAATACAGGAACACAACACGTATGGTGTCCTCTGTGGCCGGGCAGGCCACAGAGCACCCAGGGGAGCTGAGACCTCAACTTTGCATCTCCTCCTGCTTGAAGGAGAGCTGCTGCCCACCCTTGATCAAGTCAGAGGGGGCTTTGCCCGGCCACAGCCCTCCAAACACCTGCGCAGAGATCACAAAAAATAGTTGCCTTTCTAATACCATAGATAAATGTCTTGACCCATGAGTTTGTGAATAAACGAGAAGTGCTTCACTTCTTTGCCCTTCAGGATTTCCAGTGAGTTTCAGAATTTGCCTGATGATTCCCCAAACTCACACGTTTTATTATTTTAATATTGAATCCAAAGTAAAGTCCACAGATTTTTCATCTGCTGTGCTGACACTTTATGACCAAGTGGCATCAATATTGTGCCTGGGGATTGCAGTGCACCAACACAGGGCAGGGACACAAACCATGTGAATTGGGAAACCATGAGATAAAAGGTTCACCATCAAGCAGAGGCAGGAATTGGATCTAGTGTACTCGTTCATTAGGTCTTGGATAAAATAAGAGATTCATGAGTATCCCCTTGCTTTTATCACTAGCTGGTTGAGTAAGGTGGCTATGTGTCATCCCCCTGTCACCAATGGAGACATTCTGAAGATGGAGACCTGAAATTGTTGGCATGAACGTCTCCAAGAGGTTGGCTTGCTGCTTTCTTCTCTCAGTGCTAGTAACAACTAGCCAGCATGGTAAGGTCAAAGAGTGTTAAGGGGAGAGCCCATCTAAATCCAATCCATGGAGGAGCTAAAGAATCCTAGAAGCAGAAAATGGTTTGGGTTGAAAGGGACCTTTAAAGGCCATCTAGTCCAACCCCCTGCCATGAGACGGGACGTCTTCAACTAGATCAGGTTGCTCAGAGCCCCATCCAACCTGACCTTGAATGTTTCCATGGATGGGGCATCTACCACCTCTCTGGGCAACCTGGGCCAGGGTCTCACTACCCTCACCATAAACAATTTCTTTGTTATATCTAGTCTAAAGAAGAAAATGTTTTTGGAAACAAGCCCATGTAGAGTTCAAGATACAGACAGTAGCTAAGCTGCCAGGTGCTTGTAGGGGGGCTGCTGGCCAGGAGCAGGGCCAGGAGCAGGGCACGTGGTCCTGCTGGGTCTCCAGGCACAAGGAAGGGTGGGAGGCCGTGTGCTGGAGGTTTGTGCTCGGATGCTGAGCAGAAGGTGGAAGAGGAGGACCACCTTGATTGCACACTCTGAAAAGCTGCCAGTGCCATGTGTGATGCCCAGAGGACCAGCAGATGTGGATTTGGGGCGTGATAGGAACTGGAGAGCACCCAGGGCAAGAGGAGTTTGTAGAGAGTTTGTCCCTTAATGGTAAGGGTGTGGGGCTCTGAAAATACAAGAGGTCATAAGGTAGGATTAAATGTAAACTGGGAGATGCTGATGGCTGTAGAAGAGCATTTTAATGGGGCTATCAAGGAGCCTGGAGCATACACCTGAAAAGCATACACCTGAAAAGAACAAGAGGAAGATAAATAAGCTGCATAGTTCTGTAATAAAATACAGAAGACAAATCACACTGTCTGTCTGGTGACCAGCACAAACCAGTAGCAGAAAGAAAGCAAGACTTGGAAATGTTTCCAAACCAAATGTGGGGTGGGGGAACAAAAATCCTCAGTGTCAAATGAAACTGTGGTGTCCTCTATCACAAACCCAGCAGATAAATACCCTGCCAAAACTACTTCCACACAACAAACTCCCTCAGGGCGCTCTTCACCTCCCTGTTCCTGAAGCTGTAGATCAGGGGGTTCAGCATGGGCACCACCAGTGAGTAAAAGACAGCAAAGGTCTTGTCCGTGCTCAGGGTGTCGGTGGGCCTTGGTCGGAAGTTCAGGGCGAGGATAGACCCATGGAAGATGGTGACTCCAGTCAGGTGAGAGGTGCAAGTGGAGAAGGCTTTGTGTCGGCCCTTAAAGGAGCTGATCTTTGAGACAGCAGAGAGGATGAAGGAGTAGGAGACCAGGACAGCCAAGATGGTCACCATCTCCACCAGTCCCCCAAGGCCAAGTATCAGATGCCTGTTGACCTGGGTGTTGGAGCAGGAGACCGCTAGAACAGGCATGATTTCGCAGTAGAAGTCGTCGATCTCTGCTGGTGGGCAAAAAGGCAGGCTGAAGGCGAATTCCGTGTGCACCAAAGAGTGCAGCAGGCCAAGCACGTATGAACCAGCCACCAGTAGGACGCAGACCCTATGAGACATGATGGACTGGTAAAGCAAAGGGTTGCAGATGGCCACGTAGCGGTCGTACGCCATCGCGGCCAGAAGGAAGCACTCGGTGCTACCAAAACCTATGAAAAAAAAGAGCTGGGCGGCACAGCCCACCAGAGAGATTGTCTTCTTCTCCATCAAAAGGTTCATTAATGTCCTTGGCGCCACCACTGATGCGTAGCAAGCATCTAGGAGGGACAAATTGCCGAGGAAAAAGTACATGGGTGATTGAAGTTGACTGCTGCTCCTGATCAGGGCAACCATGCCCAGGTTCCCTGCCAGAGTGATGAAGTAAACGAGGAGGAAGAGGACGAACAGAGGCCCTTTTAGTCGTGGGTCATCTGTCAGTCCCGCAAGAGTCAGCTCCGTAACTTGCTGGCTTTGATTTGCCTTGTCCATCTTCTCCAAAAAAACACTGCAAGTCACGTTCGCAGCGCCAGAAGAAAACCAAGAAATTAATGGAGAGGCTCAGCCCTCAAAAGACCAACAACCCCCAGCGCCTGCACTGGCTAACCCTCTCATTAGCAGAGATTTGTTTAATTTTAAGTCAACATTCACCAAGAAAACTGTTTGGCAAGACAGGTGGAAATTTTTATTTCGGTGTCAGTTACTCTGCCAAGTGTTTGATTTTTTCATTCATTTTGATACATATATATTTCTATCTATTGTATGCTCACAGTATAGATCACATTTCAGTGTAACCCTCCCAAGTTCTATCAAGAAAGCGTGAAAAAAAAAAGGGTTCAGACATTCCTATAACAAATTAGCTATATTGATAATGAAAACAGACTTTTCACAGAGTTTGATGTTTGGCAAGACAGGTGGAAATTTTTATTTCGGTGTCAGTTACTCTGCCAAGTGTTTGATTTTTTCATTCATTTTGATACATATATATTTCTATCTATTGTATGCTCACAGTATAGATCACATTTCAGTGTAACCCTCCCAAGTTCTATCAAGAAAGAGTTAAAAAAAAAAGGGTTCAGAGATTCCTATAACAAATTAGCTATATCAATAATGAAAACAGACTTTTCACAGAGTTTGAACTAGAATATAAGCTTTCAAATTTTAGGAAGCCTTCCCAGTGGATTTTTTTTTCAAGATTATTTTGCTTGCATTGCTGCTGAGAGAAAAAAATGAAAATCTCCCTTACTCTTCCATAACGTTTCATGTTTTGCTAATTTTGGGTTACGCTTTTATGGAGTGGGTGGAAACAGAGCTGTGCCATCATTTGAGAGAAAATAAATCATTAAAAAAAAGGTGGTACAACAAATCTTCGTGTTTGTAGCATCTTTCTCTACACCTCCTCGCTCTAAAATTCACACTTAGGAGTTTGAAATATATGGAAATGCACCGATTCATCCTGACTTTTTATGACAGAAATCAGTGAGAAATAAGGAGCAGCCCTCCAGAGGGGTCCAGAAGCTGCTTCTGGAACATAAATATATATATATTTTTAAATAAATTAAGAAAATCCTTGGGTAAACCGGCCCACTTTTAGTCAAAGATCATGGAAAATATTGTGCTGCTTGTAGGGTTCCTGCCACTGCAACTAAATCAGGAAAATCAGCAGGTAAATTAGTATAAAACTGGCATGAATGAGCCTGGCTTATATTCATAATAGAAAAATCAAATACACTCTGTACCGAGGTGGAAGAAGAGCATGGGATTTAGCTGTACGTCAGAAAACTGAGCCATTTATTCACAGTATAGATCACATTTCAGTGTAACCCTCCCAAGTTCTATCAAGAAAGAGTTAAAAAAAAAAGGGTTCAGAGATTCCTATAACAAATTAGCTATATCAATAATGAAAACAGACTTTTCACAGAGTTTGAACTAGAATATAAGCTTTCAAATTTTAGGAAGCCTTCCCAGTGGATTTTTTTTTCAAGATTATTTTGCTTGCATTGCTGCTGAGAGAAAAAAATGAAAATCTCCCTTACTCTTCCATAACGTTTCATGTTTTGCTAATTTTGGGTTACGCTTTTATGGAGTGGGTGGAAACAGAGCTGTGCCATCATTTGAGAGAAAATAAATCATTAAAAAAAAGGTGGTACAACAAATCTTCGTGTTTGTAGCATCTTTCTCTACACCTCCTCGCTCTAAAATTCACACTTAGGAGTTTGAAATATATGGAAATGCACCGATTCATCCTGACTTTTTATGACAGAAATCAGTGAGAAATAAGGAGCAGCCCTCCAGAGGGGTCCAGAAGCTGCTACTGGAACATAAATATATATTTTTTTAAAATAAATTAAGAAAATCCTTGGGTAAACTGGCCCACTTTTAGTCAAAGATCATGGAAAATATTGTGCTGCTTGTAGGGTTCCTGCCACTGCAACTAAATCAGGAAAATCAGCAGGTAAATTAGTATAAAACAGGCATGAATTAGCCTGGCTTATATTCATAATAGAAAAATCAAATACACTCTGTACCGAGGTGGAAGAAGAGCATGGGATTTAGCTGTACGTCAGAAAACTGAGCCATTTATTGACAGAGACACAGGGGGCAAAAGCTCTGCAGGAAAATCACAAAATTACTCTGTAGAATCACAAAATTACTCTGCAATTCCCCAGCATTGCAAAGATAAAGATATATTATAACTGGTGTTTTATCTGCTAGCTGGTATTATAACCTTCAAAAAAATTATTAAAAAAAATATAACTGGTAATATAACCCTCAAAAAATTCGTGTGGCCCATGATTTTCCTTCCCCTCTTGGTTATTGCTCTTATGTGAAGAGAATAGCTTGCCTTGGTGTGGATAATAAAGATATAACTGAGAATAATCAAATTCATCTTTACAGACCTAATCTCTGAAGGAGGAAACCCTTTCTCCTTCCTTCTTGCTTCCTGCAAGGAATTATACATTATATTCTGCAAGGTTAATATATATCCCATTAAAATTATGTTTCCAGGTGTCCCCTTTTCCTTACCACTGAAAATCTTGCTTCTTATTTCTTCCTTACTTCACATTAAGTCATGACAGAATGTGAGGTTGCTTATATGTTCGGTCTGTCCAGCCCAACAGGTTTAATTGCTTTTTTCTAACAGTCATTTCTAATCTACTGAGACCTCTGAGATGCTTTTGTTGAGAAGTGTTTTGGAAATCTTCCTTTGGGAGAAATGCAATTATTTTTATATTCCTCTTTCAAACATGTGTAGATATATATGTGTGTGTGTGTGTAAAATCTCTCTATAGATACATGTATGTATGACAGAGGAGTGTAAAATAAAAATAAAAATAAAATAAAGTAAAATAAATTACGTGAATTACATATAGAGGTGCCTATTTCTTGGGGGTGTGAGGAAATATTGACTGAGTTGAAAATTTACTTGAGTAAGAACATTGTTTATCCCAACTTTAATGTTGTTCACTTGTATTTTTTTACCAAAATTATTTGTTTCTCAATACTGTGACACAGAGACTTTGAGGGCATCGGTATCAAGCCCCTTCTTGGTGCATTATCCAGAAAGTCTATTTATTAATAGGCTTTAAGGGGGGTGGGAAATTCAGCATTAATTGTTCAATAAATGGTGAAACAGCTGTTATTGACCCAATGTGTGATTAAGTTACTCACATTCGCACACCAAATGAGAAGCAGCTTTAGGGACAGCAAAGGGGAGGCTCTAATTGCCCAGAGGTTTCCAGGAAAATTAGCACTGACGCTCGCCGTGACCCATGGAAGGACCAAACACCTTGAGCTCAACCTGCAACTTCACTTGCAGGGACCAAGGTTTTGGTGAAAAAAGCTTTATTAGGGTTCCAGACCACAGGTAAAAGCTTGAGAAACTACAGAGAAGAATTGTGTGATTGAGTTATTAATAGTTTATATAATGTCCTGTAGGTCTTCGGGTCTATCCCACTCCCACTCAGACATCCAAGCGCTGGGTTTCAAAGAGGTGCTCCACAGAAAAAGGGTTTCTGACTCTTCTTCTGGGTTCTCCTCTGACCCAGAAGGTTGGGAACCCATGTCTGGTGAAATCCAGTGAAATCCTTTCTTTGAAGGCATTGAATGGAGAAATGAGATGAACAGTATGAATCAAGCTGTGTGGAGGGGCTGCTCACTCCTTATTGACCACAGATGGTGCATGAGGTTGAGCTTCATCTCACTCAGCTTCAGCTATGCAGAAGTTACATGTTTAATCTGTGTCAGGAGATAAATCATAAAGAAATTACCATCAATACACCTTCATACAGACTTGAGTACAATTTTGAGTCCCACTCAATAATAGCAGTAAGGAAATACCCTCCTGGTCATCAGCTTCCTTCACTCACCGCCTTCTCCCAACTGCTCTTCTCAGGGCGGCCTTCACCTCCCTGTTCCTCAGGCTGTAGACCAAGGGGTTGAGTGTGGGGGTCATGATGGTGTAAAACAGCGTGGCACTCTTGTTCTCACCCAACGCGTAGGTGGAGCTGGGGCGTAGGTACATGAACAAGATTGCCCCAAAAAACATGGTGACGACCGTCAGGTGGGAAGCACAGGTGGAGAAGGCTTTTCTCCTGCCCTCCAGAGAGCGAATCTTCAGGACAGCAGGGAGGATATGGCTGTAGGAGATGAAGATGATGGCCATGGTGCTGAGACAGTTTATGCTGATGAGAGCAAGGACGACCACCTCGTAGGTGCGGGTATCGGAGCAGGAGAGGGCTAAGAGGGGGGCAATGTCACAGAAGTAGTGGTTGATAACATTGGAGCGGCAGAAGGAGAAAGAGAAGATGAAAGTGGTGTGTGTCACCGCATGCAAGACGCCGATGGCGTAGGAACCGACCACAAGCCACCGGCATGTCCATCCGCCCATGATGGCGGGGTACAGGAGGGGCTTGCAGATGGCCACGTACCTGTCGTAGGCCATCACGGCCAGCAAGAGGCACTCGGTGACCCCAAGAACAACGAAGCAGCAGAGCTGGGCCGCACACCCCGAGAAGGCAATGGTTTTCTCCTCCATCAAGATCTGCACCAGCATTTTGGGGAGGATGACGGAGGAATAGCAGACATCAACAAAAGCCAAGTGGCCAAGGAAATAGTACATGGGGGTGTGAAGGTGAAGATCGGTCCTAATTAAAATAATTATCCCAAGGTTCCCCAAGAGGGTGACCATGTACATGGCCAGGAAAGCCAAGAAAAGGGGGACCTGGAGATCTGGGCGGGTGGTCAATCCCAGTAGAACGAACTGGTGGACATCAGTGTGATTGACAAGTGTCATTCTCTATGACACGTTCAACCTGTGGGAGATACGAAAAGTGACAGACAGTGATTTGGGAAGCTCAACAGGACCCTTAGCTCCCACGATGCCACCCAAGGGAGGCAGAGCACGTCCTACCAGAGGGTCGTGAAATGTCAGCTGGACTCTGGGTCACTCTGGGAAGAGCCAAGCCTCCGTCCAGCAGCTTCAAAAGGATCCTGAAACCAAAAATTGTCAAGCTGAACGGTGAGGATGCCCACCTGGGTTTCGCTCAGTATTTCATCTCCCACGTAGCTTCATATCAACACCTTCCTGGGGAAATATAACACAGGAGGAAGGTCAATACAAAGTACACAGTAACAAAATTAAGATATTCAATGCATTTTCCTTAGTAAATGACAGGTAAATTTTGAAAAAAAATAGCTTTTTTAAAAAAATAAAACAACATGGAACAATTTGACTGGCAGAAATCACAGAGTTGCTTTTCTTGTTGGTTTTTCAAAACAGAAGAGAGCCAAAGTGTGCATTTTTCTCTCAAAACTGATAGAAATACACAGCTTTCAGCGTACACAGTCTTGACAACCCCATAGGTAAGGAAATTCACAGCGGCGATGGGGAAACAAGCTTGGATATAGAGCCAATGCCATAGAAGCAAGCACTGGAGGAGCTGAGGAGGGCAGGGAGAGGAGACACTACGCTGTGCAGCTTGGGCATCCTCTTGCCTTGGCCACCAGGGCTATCCCTTGCCATTACAGTGGCATCTATTAAGAGACCCAACATATAATCATAGAATCACAGAATGGTTTGGGTTGGAAGGGACCTTAAAGCCCCCCCAGTCCCACCCCCTGCCCTGGGCAGGGACACCTCCCACCACACCAGGTTGCTCCAAGCCCCCTCCAACCTGCCCTTGAACCCCTCCAGGGATGGGGCAGCCACAGCTTCTCGGGGCAACCTGGGCCAGGCTCTCACCACCCTCACACCAAACAAGTTCTTCCCCACATCTCAGCTCCATCTCCCCTCTTTCAGTGTCAAACCCTTCCCCCTCATCCTATGGCTCCCCTCCCTGATCAAGAGTCCCTCCTGGAGCCTTTCCTGGAGCTTTCCTGGAGCCCCCTTGAGGGACTGGAAGGGGCTCTAAGGTCTTCCTGGAGCCTTCTCTTCTCCAGGCTGAAGAAAAGATTCTCTCCCAACTCTCTCAGCCTGTCCTCACAGCAGAGGGGCTCCAGCCCTCCCAGCACCCATGTGACTTCCTCTCAACCCACTCCAACATGTCTCCTTGTTTCATGGTATCTAAGTTTTAAAGCAGAAGAATCCTTCTCCCATGTAGGGTTCCTTCTGCTCTTCTCAGTCTTGTTACTATAAATGAGATGTCTTACACCTCTGGTCCTTTCTTTCCTCTGTCTCACCACCTTCAAGTCCACCAGAGAAAAAGGAAGGGGTGCTTACTTTAGCCCCATGATGTCCCTTCATGTCCCACCACTTCGGAGCAGGGTCAAGGCTGAGGACTGGCCAGAATAGAAGAGCCTCTCACCTTGGACATGACTTCTCCAACAAAACTCAGACCTTCAATGCAGGTCCAAGTAGCTCCTTCAGACTTGTTGCTCCACCTTCCAGACAGCAGACAAGCCCCCTCCCTATTTTTTAGTGTTTGAGTGGTTTTTATACTCATTTCTGCAACCTTGGAGGCATTTCAGTCTGTAGAGAATAGAAGCTTGACAACAAACAAAATCCACCCGGAATATTCATTTCTTCATCTCCGGGCTCATTAATGAAGCCCAGGAACAATTTCCTTTGAACATATGGATTTAAGAAAATGTTTTCCCCTTCTCCCATGCTGAGGAGAGGGAGTGGGTGAAAAGTGAACATCTACATGACTCATGAAAAGCAAATCCCAACTTTTTCTGCAGTCAACCCTGGTTATTTTCTTAAGTGGCTTCCCTTGGTGCCACTTACTGGATTTGGGCAATGGAAAGATACTTCTTGCAACCATTTCTGCTGTCATGATCTCCCCTTGTTAGCACCTTCTTGCTCCAAAACCCACCTGAAATGTTAATCTTGGCCTTTTCTGGCTTTGATAAGACAGTAATTGTCCCCTTCCCCCAAGTGTTTTCATGGTTTAACTTTTTGGCTTTTTTCACTTTTCCTATAAGTATTGATGAGAAGAGCAAGGCAATGGCAATCACCTAAATTCAAATCAGTACCAGAACTACAGTTTTACCTAAACAGAATTATTTTTCCCTGAGATCTGCCCACTGGGTCCAGGTGCCATGACACCTATTATCTACAATACTGTGGTCTTGACGTAGGGATTCACAAAACCCTTTCCTATCTGCTTTCTCCAAGAGATTTAGTGTCCAAGAGCTGGTGGTCACACTGTATCAGCTTGTTTGAGTAGGCTGCAACTTTCAGAACCTCCAAGGGCTGCATTTCAGAGGCCACTAACCCCTCCATCATTAGCGGGAAGGATATTCTCTGACCATGTGTGTATTAATTTTGACAGTGAGAATTCAGAGGTGTTTTAAACCCCCTCAGACAAATTCTGCACGTAGCCAGGCTGCCTGGTGAAAATCTTTCACCACCATTGTCACTTCACAACCACTGCCCATGGCCCCATGGCTAAGAGGGATGCCATCATCTAGTAAAATATATGAATATATAATGAAAAGCACCAATTATTTTCAAAATGTTATGATAAGGGTTTTGAGCAACCTGGTCTGGTGGAAGGTGTCCCCGCCCAGGGCAGAGGGTTGGAAGTAAATGAACTTCAAAGTCCCTTCCAACCCAAACCATTTTATGATTCTGTAGGTCCTCTATTAACTTCCATGGAAGACTTTTTTTATAGAATCATAGAATGGGTTGGTTTGGAAGGGACCTTCAAGATCATGCAGTTCCTTGATGGAGGACACGTCCCACCAGACCAGGTTGCTCCAAGCCCCGTTCAACCTGGCCTTGAACCCTTCCAGATATGGGGCAGCCACAGCTTCTCTAGGCAACATGTGCCAGGCTCTCACCACCCTCACACCAAAGAATTTTTTTTCAATATCATTTTTTCCTAATGAGATTTGGGGCCAAACCCCTTGGCAGGCTGTCTACAGCCGCTCCAGCCCTCTCATCCCTCTGGGATACAGGACCAGTTGAACACGACCAGCTGATAATTTCCCTTTCTGAAGTCACTCTGCCATTATCTGACGGCGACCTCACCAAAGACCCACCTGATCCCATATTTACAGCTTACCTCAATGCTGTTTTATTCACTGGCTGCCCAGCTTTTCAGCAGAATTTGTGTCCAGGGGGGACAAGAGTGACATTTTCTGGCAGTTGTCTCAGGTAGTTTCAAAAGCAGCTTGAAATATTGTGAAGTCTGCCAGACTGTGCCTGTGTAATTGTTTTCACTCGCCATCCTTATTCTGTTCATTGAATCTTAGTCACTCAGGAAATATATAAAAACACAATCTGTGCTCAAAACGTGTGACAGTGCCAAAAACCCTCTAATGAATTTTAATTTAACAGAATGCAAAAAGCAAAATGTACCGAAAAAAAGGTAGTGAGGGTTTTTCTGTGTGGCTTCTTTCCCTAAGACACCTGGCAGTTGTTGGACTCCCAAAAAATTTGTCATGAGAATGAGAGAAGACACCCAGAAAAATTCATAATGGGACTCTAAGCTTGGCTGATCTTTCATATTTGGAAACCAGCCAGTCCTCGTGGGCTAACGGCAGCGCGTAGCTCCTTCCAAATACGCTCATCAACTGTGCTTGAAGATTCATTTCATCCCACCGAAATCTATACAATTTCAACACTGACTTGATGAGCACTGAATGGCTCAAAGGGGGGAAAAAAAAAAAAAAAGAATAAATGATGAGGCGTGAAAAGAATCACCCAGTGGCATTAGCATGTGGTGGACAGTCCCGTGCTCATCACCAGGGCCAGTCCCCTGGATTGGCAGGGGTTTCTCCTGGCCTCTGGGGCTCCCAATGGAAATGCCAACATGAAATTGGAAACAATATTTTTTTTTCTTTTTTTTTTTTGAGGAATGAAAAGCTAATTATGGGGGTGTAGTGTTTTTTTGGTTTTTTTTCTTTTCCAGCTCATTTATATCTACCCCCGTGGTTTTATTTAGCACACCAGCTGTTGAGTCTGAGCGTGGGTTAGCTGAATGTAGTCATCTACAGGTTTAGGCTTCTTCATCTGACCTTTCTCCACCCTGTGGCCAGGATCTCCAGGAAGCATTTCATTTTGCTCCAAAATAAACATCCTAAACAGCTTATCTAAATACTTCCTAAACATTCCCACTTTTCCCCATTGATGCAGAGTCCCTGGACCAGGAAAAAGTAGTGTTTATTGTCTACACCATGGAAGAAAACCAGGGATTACATCCCCAAAAATGCATATAGCAAGGAGTTCACCTATCTTTTCTTGTTTGTGTTTTCATTTGTTGCTTTTCATAATGGGTGGAGGAGGATGTGAGCCAGGAGCATGAGATGTTCTGAGCCTGAAGTGCTTCATGATGGACTGCTTTTCATAGTGGGTGCAGGAGGATGTGAGCCAGGAGCATATGTTCTGAGCCTGAAGTGCTTCATGATGGACAGGAGATGTCACTCCTCTCCTTCCCACCTCTCCCCATGTATCATTTGAATCTGTGCTATAAAATGGGTTCTTAGCCATGGCCAACCTGTAGCCTAGTACTACAACATCATCTTCTTCCACCTCCCCCCATGTACAATTTGTATCTGTGCTGTAAAATGGGTTCTTAGCCATGACCAGCCTGTAGCCTAGTACTACAACATCATCTTCTTCATCCTCTGCTTTATCTGGATTAAATATTCCCTACTGATGCCCAACCAGTAGCTCAGGTGGAACCCCATATCTCATTATTACAACATGCTTCTGCTCCTGAGCTCTCCCAGTTATTTCTTCATGTATTGGACCACTTACATACACCACTTTTCATGGTCCTAGACTAATTTCCCAGTGAAACCTTCACACCAACATGAACAGGGAAGGTCAGACTGGAAGAACCAAAGCTAAAAAGCTCAGAGCATCTGGGATTGAGTTCAGTTGCCTGAATGCAGACCAATAACACCACGAAGATGCCCACAGGTTCTTCCTCTGAGCTTTCAGGTGTCGCTCCAGAATGGCCCAACTCTTCTGAAGGCACATACCAACGTCCTTGGCACCTCAGGACAGAGCAAATGGCACCAGATTTCTATGTGAGGGCAAACAAGCCCAGACCTGGCCTGGGGAATTTCTCTGCATCTTGCTCCTTTTCTGCAATTTAAGCAAAATGTTTCCAGCCCCACTTGTAGGAAAACATGCAAAAAAGGTGAAGCAACTTCTTAGTTATTAAAATATCTTTATAACATACTAGTCCAACTGAAAAAAAAACAAACAATAAAGCTCTTTTTAAAATTATTATTATTAAGGCTCTTGGGAAGAGGGATTAAGCAGACTGAAGTAGATTCATCTCCTTCAAATTTAGATAAATAAAAATTGAGTGATTAAGTCAGAGTTCCTTGTGTCCATTTGTGATCAATAAAGCTGTGTTTCAGTTTTTTTACTTTTTGTTCAAGAGAGCAGTTTAAATAATTTAGGTTTGAAGGTTTCCCAGCTTGCTCTCCTCACCGTGTTTTCATTCACGCCACAGGCTGGGGTCAGGCTGTATGACTTGGGCTCCTTTTGGATGAAAACAAACTGAAAATGGTCTTGAGGGGGGCATCTGATGTAGCTTGACCTCTAGTAGGTGTTCATATCTGCAGACCAGAATAAATTTAATCCAGAGAAAACTCTCCTGGAACGTGTATACCATGACAGCAGGTCCACAGTAGCAGTCCTGTTGATGTTCAGACCTGCTCCTGTTGCACCCCATCCGTCCCAACCCTCCGTCCTAGGATGTGATAAACCATCCTTGTTTTCCCACATATTTTAGAGGGCACCTGACTGACTGGCTCATAATGAAATTACTACTTCATAATGACCTCATAATGACTACCTCACAATGAGTTTTCAGATGTGAAGAGCCAGGTGAGCCCATTCCCATGCCTGTTTGCCAGTCCCAAATTTGTGACGGCAGGAAAATCACACTTATGAAAACCAGTCAGATGTGGAGGAGTGTCCGCAGTGTATTTCAACTTGTCTCATGGTTTAAGAATTAAAAAAAGACAAAAGGCAATTAATTACAAGAAATTCAAGGCTTGAGGTGCCCTTCAGGAGGCCCAAAGGTGAGAAGAAATGCAACGAGCTTCCCCAGCTCCTCTGCTAGGGGGTCAGAAGGTGGCAAGGACAGATCACCCCATTAGCAAGAACCAAATGAACCATGTTATCTGCACTCATCATGAAGACAAGAATGTTTCTTTCTTTCATGAGAGCATATGGCCAAGCTTGTAGCGGCCCAGAAAGCCCTCCAGCAGGCCTGAGCTCCAAGCTCTCACCATACAGGTGGTTACAGCTATTTGCATCACAAGTGACACTGCTCCCCTTCCCAGAGCAAGAAATGATCCTTCGGGACCAACCACCCTTCTAGGAGTCATCAGCTTAACAAGACCTTCTGGGGTTTACCAAGAAAGTTTCCTAATCACCATGAAAGCTCTTCAGTAGGCTTGTAGTCAACTTACCTCATTCTTCTTAACAAGCCATGAGAGACTAATTAGCAGGGGCTAACAAGAAATAAACTTTCTTCCTTGTTAACAACAAAGTGAACTTCTACAGCTGCCTTGCTTGTCAGAGCTCGTCAAGGCCCCGAAGCCAAAGAGTTGGAGGGTCAGCATGTTAGTGTGTGACTGTATTAAGGACAATTGTGTGGGCCTGAATAGATGGAGAGCAATGCTCCTCCAGGTTCCTCTGATTAAAGTACCTGCCCCCAATTCTTGAGGTTAAATTCCCACCCACAAGCTGAGCTGCTTCTTCCTTTGTGTGATGATGGTGACCCAGCAACACCCTGAGCTCCCCCCTGAGGTATGGTGTCATGCTTGGTGGAAGCACTGGTTGTGATGGGAGCTTCTTCCCTGCCAGTTTGGGGTCTGATTGGGATCACTTCTATATGTTTCTACCCCATATTTGTTCCTGGTCAGTGGTCTTTTCTCTCCTGTTGGTCTATGGGGTTAACTATGCTATAATTGTGAAAGTTTATTAGTCATTCCCCTATATCTCATTATTTATTTCAGAGGAGGAAACACAAAATTGCTCAAAATTAAGCAAAAGCAGTTAATAATAACATAAATGATAGAAGCTGAAAATGCCAGGGTAGGGAGCAGGTACCCAGCTGGTGGGTAACCTTTCCATTACTCATAGGAGATGCCAGATGACAGCCCTCTGGTCCTTAAGCAAGTTGCAGGCACTGCATAATTTTCCCAAATAAAGTTGAAAATACAGCTGCAGTTGAGCTAAAATAAGTCACAGAAAAGGCCTGATGAGCCTTGTTGTGGTGAACTGGTGTTAGGAAGCCCAGTGTCCATTGCTACCTGGGAACGCTAAACTACCTGAGCCTTGTGTTCACCAGAAATGTGCCAGTTATTTGATATGTAAGAGAGCTCTGGTCATCGTTGTCACCCTGAAAGCAGTAGGTGTTATTTGTTGTCATTGTTAAGACAACTGTGGTGATGCATCCTCACGCTACAAAGGGTCAGAAGGGCTTAAATTCCTGAAATTAAAATAATGCCAGGTTGTGAACACCAATAAAAGTAGCTAATGCATCCCTGATGCAGGTCAGTGGCTGCCCTAATCCAAGAGCAGTTCATGACTCGGTATTTAAGAACAAGGCAGAGGTTTCACAACACATTTGTACCCAGTAGCTCACCAGAGAGCACTGCTTCTTCTATACCATAACAGTACAGAAATGGAATGTACAAACATCTCTGAGAAGACCTCTCAGTTCCTCTGAAGCTCTAGGGAAAACTATTTTTCAGCTGAACGCTTCCTCTCCACCACTCTCCCCAGCGCATCTTTCACCTCCTTGTTCCTCAGGCTGTAGATGAGGGGGTTGAGCATGGGGGTCACCACCGTGTAGAAGACAGAGGCAACTTTGTCGAGGTCCTGGGAGTGCCTAGAGCTCGGCCGTGAGTACATGGATGCAGCAGATCCGTAGAAGAGGGTCACGGCAGTCAGGTGGGACGCACATGTGGAGAAGGCTTTGTGTTTGCTGGCGGTCGACCTCATCCTCAGGATGGTGGCCAGGATGTAGGTGTAGGAGACGAGGATGGTCAGGTTGGTGACAAACAGGTTGAAGCCAACCACAACAAACATCATCATCTCATTGATGGTGGGGTCTGTGCACGAGATGGCGTAAAGCGGGGGGCCCTCACAGTAGAAGTGGTTGATGATGTTGGGACCGCAGAAGGACAGCCGAAGTGCAAACCCCGTGTGGATGGTGGCATTCGTGATCCCAGCGAGGAACGAGCCAGCAACCAGCAGCGCACACACTCTGCTGGACATGGAGGTGGCATAGAGCAGGGGGCTGCAGATGGCCACATAGCGGTCATAGGCCATCACGGCCAGAAGGTAGCACTCCGTGGTGGCAAAGACGGCGTAGAAATAAAATTGTGTGAGGCAGGCAGGGTAAGAAATGACCTTCCTTTCTGCGAGGAGATCCGCAAGCAGTCTGGGGGTGATTGAGGAAGAGTAGCAGATGTCTAGGAAGGACAGGCTGCTCAGGAAGAAGTACATGGGGGTATGAAGCTGGGCAGCCAGCGCGATCAACACCAGCATCCCCAGGTTCCCTAGCAGAGTGACCACGTAGATCACCAAGAAGACCATGAAGAGGACGACCTGGACATCCCTCTTCTCTGAGAACCCTGAGAGAACAAATTCAGCACTGGGGGTGCTGTTTCCTTTGCCCACCATCACGGCAGAGTTTGCTGTAGGAAAGCAGAGATGAGGAGAAACACAGGGTCAGCACCTTCCTCTTTTCCCCACAAACAAATGTTAAAGATACGTTTATTTTTATCAGGAAATAAAAATCTCAGAGGACTCTGAACGACATATTCAATGTTTTGCCTCAAAACACGTTTAACACAAGCAAGATGCACAATGATGTTTATTTCTGGTGGTTTTATTGGTTTGATAAAGTCACTTTGCAAATGGAAAGGCTAATTCTAGCTCCTGAAGAAGCAAAGAAGCTTCTTACTTATCAGATCCAAAGAGATAACCACAGTGATTTATTCTAACATTAGAAATCAAAGTCTGCATTTAAAGGAATAAAAAAAAAACCAACCAAAAACCAAACTTGTCTCAAAAAATAGAAAGATAAAAACCACTGGTAAGGGATAGAGACTTTTTTTTTTTTTTAGAGAATTTCCTTTTCTGTCACAGACCAAATCAAAATAAAACTCTAATTTCTTCCCTTCCTTCCCATGAAACTCTGAAATTAAGTTTGAAACAAGTGATTTAGTGCAAGTATTAATCCCTCTTTTAATTTTGGTGATATCCACATCATTATGTGATGAAAATTAAGCTCATCTCTTAAAACAGAAGTTAGGAATAGTCACAGAAATTGCTCACTGAAGGTTTTTTAACTGTTAAACAAAATACAAAATTATACCATTGGAAAGGACCCTTCTACATGAGGAAGCTTCAACACACATGCCCTACCTTCACTTAGACGTGAGGCTCACTCAAACCCTGATTGATTAAAACAAGATTTTATATGCCATCCCAGCATTAAGTCACTTGCAGAAACCTTCACACCCCTCTAAAAGCAATTTGAAGTTTGCCAAATACCCGGGTAGGGCTTTTCTGCCGTGACCTTCATGGCAGGTAGACCTGTCTTCCCATCGGCTTTGTGTAAAAATTCTAAGACAAACCAGAACTTGAGGATGGCAAGGTTTTGGTTTTTTGTTGCCAGCTTGATAACGTGTCTCTTAGCACTGATGCTTTGTAGAGCCACTTCATCAAGTCGTCTAAGATTCTGCCCTCTCCAGCCTCTGGACAATAATTACAAATCCCTGTATTCTTGATTAAAATAATCATCTGAACTTGAGGGGTTGGTGAGCTCTGCCTATGAACCTTGGTTGGTTTGACTCATAGCCTCAGCTTGTGCCTGCCTTAAATTTGGAAAAGAAACTCATAAATGCCTGGGTTTCAGGTGAGATGTCCTGACCTCAGCTGACTACTTCATGTGGAAACAGGCTCCTGCCTCAAGTCCTCTCCTTGCAACTTTTTGTAGCGTTATTTAGGCTAAAACTCACCTGTTCGCTCACATCTCGGGGCCCATTTTGATTTATCAGGGACTTGTTATCACCCAGACCAAAAGTTTGTCTGAGAAATAAGCCCCAGTTTCTCCCATTATTGGTGTTAAAAGCAAGAACGATTTGCCGGTCATGAAGGGCACCGAAACTTGACCAAGAAAAGCCCCTGTTTATAGGATTCTTTCATTAAAAGACCAAGGGCTTTGCTGCTGCCCTCCTGGGTTTGTCATGCAGGAAATTTCTCTTGGGAGCTGAAGTCTTCAGAAACAGCTCCTTGAGGAGGAGACTGATAAATAAACACAATTAGTTTCAACAAGTTAAGTGTAAGCTTGAGTATTTTTCCCCACTTACTCATATGCAGATAAAATATATATATATATAAAAGTTTATCTCTTGGAACATATATTTTATCTCTTGGAATCACAGAGAATTAAAAAGAACTGGTGTAAGAAATAGAGATTCAAGGATTAGGAAGCATCTCAGGATGTGGAGAAGTGTTGCAAATGTTACTGGGGAGAGAGGGAAAACTATTGATGAACTTTTTTAACATTATCTGGGATATCCTGTTGTTAAAAACTTTGCAAATGTAACTGGGGAGACAGGGAAAGCTATTGAGGAACTTTGCTGCTGCAATTTTTTTTGACATTATCTGGGATATCCTGTTGTTAAAAACCCCAGACAGTTGGATCCAGGCATCTGTGAGATTCACAGCCAGGTTTATGGAGAAAAGTTTCTCTTTTATTGCTCATAAAAGAGCCATACAACACTACTATCTGTAATCAGATCTGGGGAATTATTTCCTGAAAAATATAAACTTTTCTTTGGGAAGTTAATTCCTGGTGTTAGTGACCTTTATGTCAAAGCAAAAGCCTAACTCTGACACTGTCTTCATCCTTTTTTTTTTTCTTTCCAGAAAGTGTTTTCTGGATGCTGAGCCTCTGTGCTCAGCTGAATTATAAATTACTGATTAAAAGCTGGTTTCACCTTCCCACTTCTGAGTGGGGTTTGTGAAGGACTCCAAAGCATCAGCACGCTGAGCTGAAGCTTTCCCCTTACAGAATGGAATCTGCTGAAATTAGTTTATTTATTTATTAGTTAATTGATGTAAATTTAGGTGATCTACATTTAAATTAACTCTTCAGAACGTGCTCTGAGCAAAAGGCCCATTCACCATGTGGCTGTGTCAGCCCCTCACCCTTCACTGCCAAGCAGCAAGCAGAGAAAACTCAGGTTGGGTTTTTTTTCCAGAAAAATTTATTTTGCCCTGTTGTAGGTGTTTAAAATAGATCAGATGAATCAAAGCCCCCAAAATGCACAGTCACCTCCAGAAGGGGAACTGGTGGTGACTAAGTCAGCTGTGAAAGCCTACAATTAGACGGGATGACTCCTGGACCGAGATGACTCAAGCACTGAAACCTGGAAGCAGAAATTATTAATAAGCTGCAGCTGGGGAAAATAAACTTTGGAAAACAGACTTTGCTTGGATGGAGACACATAAGTAGGAGAGGAGATGGTGGGGAGAGGTTTTGGTCAACACTGAGAGTCCTCAAGCCATCAACGCATGTCTGAATACGACATGTGGCCAGAAGTTTGGAGGCTTCTTGTGTTGTCAGCTCTTGGGAAAAGCCAAGATTGCTGAGATAACATCTTGAAAGAATGTTCCTGGCCAAGCTGAGTGAATGCTTGTCACAGAGGATAGACAAAAGACCATGTCATCATGGTGGCTCCAGGCTGGTAAGCTTCACCATGCTCCCAGGCAAAGGACCATGTCATCATGGTGGCTCCAGGCTGGTAGGTGTCCATGAAGGAGACCCATCCAGGAAAACAGGATCCCCAGCACAGGGGTCTGTGTGCAACAGATACGAAGTGTGGGGATGGGCTGCTCCCCATAAAGACTATAACTGGACAAATTAGAGAAGATAAGAAATCAGGTTTATTGTACTAAAGTGAAGCGTGGGGGTGGGCTGCTCCCCATGAAGACTATAATTGGACAAATTAGAGAAGATAAGAAATCAGGTTTATTGTACTAAAGTAAAACCTTAGGCAACTACATAGAAAACATTGAAAACAAAGTTATGAAAGACATTTTCCTTCCCCAGAATGTAGTCTTTATTTGGCTTTGGCCCTGCTGTTCTGAGCCACCTCCTTCAGGCCACAGAATTCAATATTGTTGCAACATTGCATTAAATCCTCTTTGGGAAAAAGTATCAACTGTGCATGTTCAAGCACTGCCTACAGATTTATTTACTCCAAAAGTTTCCCTGACATTGTGTTTTTAGGATTTTCTGTCTTTTCTGCTTTCTCTCCTTCTCTCCAACATTGTAATTACAGGCAATTTTTTTTTCAAGGGTCCCCAGCATGGAACGAATTCGTAATACAGACTCTGTGATGTTCAGCACAAGGTGTAGGGTGTCCGTCTTCTGCCATGTGTCAGCCTTATTTCTTCTGCTGACTCCAGGTGATACCTGCTTTGGTTTGGTCAGAGCAGGACCTGTGGGAATACAGTCAGGAGACAAGCTTGTTCGCTGCCCTTCTGAGGGTGCTCCTCACCTCCTTGTTCCTCAGGCTGTAGATGAAAGGGTTGAGCATGGGGGTCACCAGGGTGTAGAAGACGGAGGCTGTTTTCCCTTGATCTTCTGCATTTCTGGAAAAGGGATGGAGGTACAGGAAAGCTGCGGAGCCGTAGAAGAGGGCTACAGCCATGAGGTGGGAGGTGCAGGTGGAGAAGGCTTTGTGCCTGCCCTCCACAGAGCGGATGCTCCAGATGGTGAGCAGGATGCAGGCGTAGGAGACAATGATGGCTGAGACAGAGGCTGTTATGATGAAGCCAATGCAGGTGGCCATGACCATCTTGTTGAGCCTGGTGTCGGAGCACGAGAGGAGCAGGAGGGGTGGCATTTCACAGTAGAAGTGATTGACAAGGTTTGGCCCACAGAAAGAGAGTCGGAGGAGGCCACTGGTGTGCACAAGGGCGTTCAGGCTCCCAACAGCATAGGAACCCACCACCAGCCGGACACAGACCTCATGGGGCATGGCAACCAAGTAGAGCAGAGGCTCACGGATGGCTACATAGCGATCATAGGCCATGATGGCCAAAAGGATGGCTTCCGTGGTGCCAACAACTGCAAAGAAGAAGAACTGCATGATGCAACCATTAAAAGAAATGACATTTCTCTCTGCAAGGAGGCCTGCCAGGAGCTTTGGCATGATGGATGAAGAATAGCAAATGTCCAGGAAGGAGAGGTGGCTGAGGAAGAAGTACATGGGCACGTGAAGCTGAGAGTTGGTCCTGATGAGGACAATCATCCCCAGGTTCCCCACCAGCACGGTGAGGTACATAAACAAAAAAATGACAAAGTGCAGCTCCCGCAGATCGGTGAAGCCCAAGAGGACAAACTCAGTCACGCTTGAGTGGTTTCCCCCAGCCATTCTCCTGGTGCCAGCACAGGGGAGACAAAGAAAGACAGGGAAGAGGTGAAATAATTTCTCCCATCTTGTGGGAATATGTAGTGCCTGAGCCTAATGCAAGATTTGGCATTTCCTGGATAAATACACCCACTTATTTGGAGAAAAAAATATGATAGCTATCCTCAGTGGGCAGGTTGAAGATTGAAAATAATATATAAAAAAAATAATATAGTGACAAAATAGTAGCCAACAGATCATAATACAGGGAAAAAATATCTTAAACTTAAATCCTAAAGCTCTGGATGGTTGGTTATGGAAAGAATTCATCTTGCAAAAGATCTTGCAAATTATGTATTCTCATGAACACCAAAATTCTTTCCAAAACGTGGGCATGTTTGGGAGAATTTCTTTCCTTTTTGGGGGGGCTGTTCTTATTTAGGGATAAAAAAAATACAATAATATCAGACCTTAATTTGCCACGTTAATTGGTGTTGCATTAAATAGACAACAGACCACATTGGAGTGATTTTTCTCACTCTGTAGTAATACGTTTGGGTCCGTTAACATGAGACTAGCATACACCTGATTGCAACTTCATGTATGTGTAGCTTCAAGAGGGAAAAAAACACAACCTTCCAATCTGGATTATACTTACACACCATCTTCCTTGCACCTCTTGGGTCTGTTAATATCAGGAATTTTTAAATTTGAGTTAGGATTCAGACATACTGGAGTATGTGCGGGCTTTTTTTTCCTTCAGGAGGGACCTTAATAACTTCAGTATTGCTTCATGGTGGGCTTCCTGCTTCTGCAGGACACGCTGGTTAAGGAAGCCCTTCCCCACCCAGTAAAAAGATGTCTCAAAACCCCTCAAAATCTCACCCTCCCTCTGGTTAACGGCATCTTGAGTCGTTCTTGGTAAGAGACTCACTGGTCCATGAGCTGAAGTTAAAAACACAAGCTCCGCAGGTCTTTCGGCACCGGGACGGTTTCTCCATGGCAGCCTCTGACAGGGCTGGGAGATTTAAGCTTTACCCCACGCCCACAGGACAAACCACCGAAGGGTACCCTGGAAACAGAGAGAGCCTTCCCCAAAGAGCCTGGGGCAAACACAGAGGTTTCTCTCCCAGGTTTTGGAGGTGGGATCCCCAAGGCACCTCAGAAAAGATGCCCCCAGAGCCTGAGCAGTTCCATCTGTGTACGCCGTAAGGAGGCGTGAAACACAAAGCAATGCTTTTGAAATTTATTTATTTTTCTATTCTCCGGGAACGTGGCAGCAGAAGAAAAAAAAAAGTTAACCTTAAGTAATGGATTCATTTAAGGAAATTATTACTTTGTATTTGCAGTGACCTGTTAGATTAATTTTCTTTTTGTACTACCTATTTCCATAGAGCAGACGTGGAAATATTAAAGAAAAAGTGGATCACAATGCAGATATTCATTTGCCATCATGTCATTGTTTTCCGGTTGGTTATTGTGGGGTTTTTTTTCCCAAGATGACTTGTCATTTTCCATTTATACTTGAATATAGGGGAGTCTCAGAGCAGGTCCTATCAGCAGCATTTGCATGGACCAGCTTTGAGAGCTGGTCTCCAAGGGCAGGGTTCTTCACCCATCCATGTGTCGGGAGGGTGAACTCAGACTTGGGTAGCTCTCTTCTAGACATTTGCAATTAGATGCAGGAATTTCAGTCGTTACCTTATTTTTTTTTTACTCCTTTTTTATTCCCTGCTACCCATCTGCTGGTCGCACACCTCAGTGTTCAGTGTCACTACAATTTTACCTGCTATATTTTTCTTCCTCTGTTTTTATTTTTGTGGGTTTTTTTCAAGAAAGGTGACTTCTTCTGTTGTCCACCAGAGATGACCTTAAAACATGCACATTGCCTGTTCAAGAAATGAGTATTACTGTATCTTCCCTTCTCACTTCCCTCTTTCTATCGTCCTCACTGTCTGTTTTTGAGCACCAGTGAGATGACCGTTTCTTCAGGACGATTCCTCTTCTGTCACCCTTCTTGAAGCAGCTTTTACTTCTGCATTCCTCAGGCTGGAGGCCAGATGGTCATGGCAGGAAGTCCCTTGACCCACCAGCCAGCACTCTTCGTGAGGTGCTGGTGGGTGTCTCTGTGGCAAGGACATATCAATAGTTCATCTTCAGCTTGGTGGCCACCACAGCCTCCACATCCCTCTCTGCCAAACTGCTCTCCAGCCTGTTCTGGTGCCTGTGGCAATTCTTTCCCTTGGGTGGGACTCAGCATTTTTCCCTTTTCGAAGTTTGTGTGATTCCCATCTGCCCATTTTGGACCCAAAAAAACCCCACCTCTCTTTTAAAAGCCATTTTGCACCATGTGCTTCAAAATTAAAATATCCCAAGTTTGGATGGGTGTGTGGGACCCCTTTCCTGGCGGGTCATGAGGAATGGGCAACCACGTGGCTGGCATCTTGCATCTCCTTTTGCATTGGTGACTCCTCTCCATTGTGGGAAATCCAGATCTACGTGAAGAACCAGGAACCAGAAGGACAACTCTTTTCTATCCAGATTATCTGGAAACCAAGCTACCTTCAGTTTCCTTTAGTACAGAAACAAAAGAGTCACTTACTCCCTTTAAAATTGATGGCCAAGGTATCTCTCTTTTATATTCTAGATATTATAATTATTTATTTTAGACATAGGTACCACCCTGGAGCAGAAAACCCTCCTGAGGTCCTGGTGGAAGAAATAAGGAGACCCCATCCAGACACCAGGGAGCTCCTCTCTGTGTCTGCCTCTGCCACCCTTCATGGCTTGGAAAGAGATTTTTGAACCCAAGAAAGAGAAATTTGCATTTTCCACCTGCCTTGAGAAAGGGAGAAAGTGAGAAGGGGAAGGTTGGGTTGAGCAAGGATGGAAACACACGTGGGGCAGGACTAACCTCAGGTGGCTTCAACCACCTGCGATGTGAACATGAGAGGGTCACCCCCAGAAATGCTTCTGTGTGTGATAAAATGTGGATATTTGAGGTGGGGTGTATGAGGTTTTTGAGGATTTGGACTAATGGTGGCACTGAGAAGGGCTGGTTTGGATGTTGCTAGGTGCGATGTGTGTGTTGGAGATGTCCGTGCTCGGCTTCATGAACATCATCTGAGGTGAAGAAGGAGATTGATGAGGATGAGGAGATGGCCATCCAACGTTTGAGATGGTGGCAATGGGACACAGCAGCCACCTCCTCCTCCCTGCCCGAGGCGGGTGTAAATGACTGTGGTTGGGTCTCCTGAACCCTTTGAAAGACATCAAAGCGATTTACCATAACCCTATCGCAACCAACTGCTCGTTTCTACAAAGCACCAGCCACACTATCGGTTTCTTTTCCTTTCACGAGCACCAAAAATCTCACTTCCTGATATTCTTGGCAGCAGCATTCACTGGTGGTTTATGGTGAAACAGTCAGCCTTTTTTCTTTTCTGAAAAGACTATTAAAAAACAGCTCATTTTATTTTTTTCTTTAGTGACAAAATTCAGATTAATTCTAAATATTTACTTGTTTGCTGGTGCTTTTCCCCTTGTTTTCTCTCTTGCCTGCACAGGAGCTCCCATGGCCATCTAGAGGCCCCCTTGTTTTCTCTCTTTTTCCTCTGCACAGGAGCTCCCATGGCCATCTAGAGGAGTTTAGGGCGTGTGGACCGTGCTCAGCATCTGGGACTTTCTGTCGTGAATTTGCAACATGGGAAATCCTACTTAGAAATAAAAAGGAGGAAAAAATCCTCTCTAAGGCTGGTTCAAACACTATAAGAGAGGCCAGGGAGGGTGTGAAACCTCTGCCCTGGGTGGTCCCCGAGGCTCAGGTGGTCTGAGTTGTCCCTGGTGGGTGTGGGTGGCTGTACCCCTGAGGTCCCTGCTGATAAGGGAGGAATGGGAGGGCAAACAGCCTGGGAGGACATTTGCCCCAGGCTGACGGTACCAGCCGACAGTTTTCTGGATTAAATAATAACCAGGGAGTTATCAGGAAGCTTTGGCAACAAAGGAGGATTCAGCTGATTGACCCTGGATGTCTGTTAGTTGTTGGGCCGTTAATTAGTCAGCAAACCGCTTTGATCCTGGCTTGATTTAATCCATCTGAGCCCCTTCTGCCTCCAACCCAAGTTACTCCATGTCTCTAGGAGAGCAGTAGGGCTAAGCCAGCCCTCCAGCGTTTGCCATGGTCCTGACAGTGAGATAATACCCAAATTGGAGTATTTTGGGGGGGGGGGTTTGCCATGTGTGCAAGATGTGTGCAGCTCTCTCTGGAGGACGGCGGCAGGAGAGACACCAGGGCAAGGAATGACCATGAACCTGGAGATCACGGCTTTTATTGCCATCAACAAGGAGACGTAAAGCAAAGGTGTGGGGCAGGGGATGGGGGTTCCTTGATGGTATCTTAAGGGGGGGCATTCATCACTACCGCACCCTAAAACACTTTCAAAGTGCCTTCATTCACAAGCAGAGGTCACCCAAATACTGAAATTTAACTTCAACTTGTAGCTGGCTAAGATTAAACGAGATGTGCGGTGCTGTTAATCATTTAACGAGGTTTGAGGATGAAAAAGAAGAAAAAAAAACCGAAACAAAACCAAAACATTTCCTGGGTGGCACGTCAGTTATTTTCTGTCGTCTCTATTTTTCTTGCTAAAGGGGTTGGCAGCCTGAGGGTGATTATTACAGCCCTTAATGATTTTACAACACCGTCTTGAAATAGAATTTCATTCTGTGGAACAGTAGAATGCACCCTGAATTTTATCCTGATTTGTCACGTTGTTTACCCAAATTTGCCAAGTGAAAAGGGGGAGCAACACATGGCACAGCTGGTAGTTTTGGGTACAGAAAACTGCAGAAATTTTTGCCATATTCTTCTGGTTTAATTTGGCCTGATACATGGGATTGGATACATGGGAGAGGGCAAAACTTTAAATGAGGAGTAGTCCTCTACCCGCGTCTTCATTAGGTTAAATTAACTACTCAATATAATTATCGACATTTGGAGAACTGAGTGAAACCCCCCAGGGCAGGGGGTTAGAACTGGATGATCTTTAAGGTCCCTTCCAACCCAAACTATTCTATGATTCTGTGGAACTCTTCGTATCCTGAACCAGCTGAGGATATTGGATCAACCAGTGAAGCTTCTAAGTCAAAAAGCAGGAGACCCCAAAAATGATATCAATCTGAGAAATTTAATCAAAAACTGACCACATCACTCACGTCTCCATTCTACCTGGCTATACATTCACTACATTCGAGATCATTTTGGTTTTGCGAATCTCCTCAGAGCCTCCTTCACCTCCTTGTTCCTCAGGCTGTAGATCAAGGGATTCAGCATGGGAGTCACCACGATGTAGAGCACCGCAGCCCATTTGTCTTCTCTTGAGCTGTCTGAGCTGGGCTTTAGGTACATAAAAAGCGCCGTCCCGTAGAAGATGCTCACAGTGGTGAGGTGGGAGGCACAGGTGGAGAAGGCTTTGCGCTTGCCCTCAGCTGAATGGATGCTCAGGATGGCAGAGATGATGGCCACGTAGGAGACCAGGACAACCAGACAGCTGGACATACCGAATAAAGAGGCTGAAGTTCTCAGGATAAGGTAGCTGAGGGTGGTGTCGGAGGTTGAGAGGGATATCAAAAGGGAAATGTCACAGAAGAACAGGTCAAGGACATTGGAGCTGCAGAAGGATAAACTGGACATGCCAATAGTCTGCCACACGCCATTGGCCAGCCCCATGAGATAGGACCCCACCACCATCTGGAGACAGCATTTTGGGGACATGACGAGGGGATACATCAGGGGGTGGCAAATGGCCATGTAACGGTCATACGCAATCATAGCCAGCAGGAAGCACTCAGTCATCCCAAAAAGGTCATAAATGAAGACCTGGGCCATGCACCCAGCATAAGCAATGCCTTTCTTCTCAGATAGAAAGTCTACCAGCATCTTGGGGGTGATGACAGTGGACGAACAGAGGTCTACAAAAGCCAGGTTGCCCAGGAAGTAATACATGGGGGAGCAGAGCTGAGGGCTGGCCCTGATTAAGGTGATCATCCCCAGGTTCCCCAGGATGGTGAAAAGATAGACAAGAAGAAACATCAGAAAGAGGGTGAGCTGAGCCACCAGGTCCTTGGTGAACCCGGTTAGGCTGAACTCTGTCACTGGGGTGCAATTGCTTCCTGCCATCAGCTCGGTGGTGCTTTCTGTGGAAACTCCTTGCTGGAGATTTCTTCTACAACAGGCAAGTACCTCACGGACAGAAAACCCTCCCTGCAGCGGGACCTGCTTGGAGACAATCACACGAGAGCTAAAGGAAGAGTTTGGGCACAGATCAAGTAGAAAGAGCTTGCCCAAAAGTCACATTGCAGGGTGGGTAAAGCAAAGGGGACAAAGCTTTGCTCCAGCTGTGAAATCCCACGGCACAGGGTGGTGTGTGGTCCTCTGGCTCCCTCCTGGATGTCCAGCAACCCCCTCCGTGGAAAGCCATAGGGGAGGTACAAACCTGAGTAGCTTTACCTTGCGTTCAGTCCCTCAAGCTTGTGTTCCTTCTGGGCCTCTGAGATCATCCAGTTCCACCTGAAACACAGAGAAATGTGGTGCTTCTACAGTGCAGAGCTGATTGTTCATCCTCTCCTCAGCGTTTTCCAACCAACCCACTTCTTCCTGCTTTGCTGGGGCTTCTTCCAAACCATTAAACCTTACACAGAGGTTTATACTGGGTTCTCCTCCCTCCTCAGAAGGCAGGAGGTTTATACTGGGTTCTCCTCCCTCCTCACACACATTTTAGCTATAAAAGCTTTTTCTACATCTTTAGCCTGTTCCTAGAGCCTTCAAATGGAAAGAGGCAACCCCCAAAGCTGAGCAATCTCTCCTTTTTAGGGGGGGAAAAAAATCATCTTTTGGACCTGCGCCCCAAAGATGAGCAGTCTCTCCTTTTTGGGGGGGAAAAAAATCATCTTTTGGACCTGCCTCATCTGAGCAATGGTTAGCTGCCTAAACGTTCTTTAGAGGAAAGTTTCTGGTCCTCATCCAGGAGACCTTGGCGGTCAAAAAGAAGGAGAGAGGAAGCCTCCTGAGCATGGTCTCCACCAGGGTGATCTCCAGGAGTCTGACACTGGAGCTCCAGCTTGAGCTGAGAGATGCTGACCCTCACTTACATCTCAGCACTCAGTCTCTGCCCCCCTGCTGGTCCTCTTGGAGATGGATGTGAAGACGCGTGTACCTGAAGCTCTGCAGGAGAGCTTGGAAATAAAGCACCGTCAGCAAACACCCGTACTATTTCACATAATCTGGGGATTTGGGGACTTTGAGCCCCGGGAGAGTGGGAAAGCCCAAAGCGGGTCATTATTTTTTCTCTGCACTTAGTTTGGAGAAGTGTGCCCAGAGGAGATGACCTCAACTTGAGTGAATGATGGGACTTTGGGTTCTCTTCAGACCAAACCACAGAACAAAGCCCCATTTTCACAATCACTTTTTGAACATTTCAGAGACAACAGGAGCCCGACAAGAACTGTGTTTGACATTATCCCACCAAGGAGCTGAGGAGCACCTCGCCAATGGGGCAAAGTCCTGCAGGGGCTGAGCCAGGGCTGGTCACAGGGTCCACCAGCAGTCCCAGGCACCACGGATGATGACCCACCTTTCCACCCACCTTAAATACTTTCTTTGCAAACCATAGCTCAAAAGTTTGGCTGCAAGGAGCCAACAGAAGATTGCAGTGACCTTGCTAAAGTTGAGGTAGATGCCATCCGCCGCTCTCCTTTCCATCCACACAGCCATCATCTCATCGCTCAGGTTGGTCAAGCGTGACTTGCCCTTGGTACATCCACTTTGGGTACTCACGCTTCCCCTCCTGTCCTTCTTCTGCCTGATGAGGGCTTCCAGAGGGGTTAGCTTCTTAATCCTGCTGGGGACTGAGGCAGCCTGCAGTCTTGGTGCCCTCCATCTTGGTGATGACTTTCTTCCACCCATTATGCCGGAAAAGCACTATCCAAAAGGGCAAAGGAGAGCCTGAGGGAGAGGTGTCCAAAACTGGAAGGAAGGTGATGAGAAAGATGAGATCAGGAGCATGAAGAAGCACGTAAAGGAGCAACATCCAGGGCCACATCCTTGCCTTTCCTCTTCTCTCCAGCAGAAAAAAAAAAATCAGTGGTGAGATGCCCAGGTCCAGTCCTGCCTGGGGCTGAGTCCCCCCCCCCTCCATCATCCTCCTCCTCCTCGCTGTCAGCATCTCCTCTCACACCTCCTCATCTCCCCGCTCGATACCAGCCCCGCGGCCACGGCCAGGCTGACAGCAGGAGATGGATGGGGCTGAGCCGGCGCTGCAGGACACGTGTGAGGATGCCACAGACACCCAGGGGCTTGGGGAGATGGTTCCTCCCCACTTTGCATCCGTTCCAGTCCCAAAACCCAGTGCTGCCCTTGGCCACCCAGCACCCTATGGGGACCTGAGGGGTTCCTCTCCGTTACTGTGGCCACAGGGTGGGTTTTAAACAAGGTGTGTCCCCATCCATCTCCCGCTGTCAGGCCAGCATCGAGCATCCCCATGGGAGGTGTGGGGTGGAGTGGGGGGGTCAAGACAGTGATGGGACCAGCGTTTGGGGTGGGTGCAGGGGCGCTCAGGTTGGTCAAGCGTGACTTGCCCTTGGTACATCCACTTTGGGTACTCACGCTTCCCCTCCTGTCCTTCTTCTGCCTGATGAGGGCTTCCAGAGGGGTTAGCTTCTTAATCCTGCTGGGGACTGAGGCAGCCTGCAGTCTTGGTGCCCTCCATCTTGGTGATGACTTTCTTCCACCCATCATGCCGGAAAAGCACTATCCAAAAGGGCAAAGGAGAGCCTGAGGGAGAGGTGTCCAAAACTGGAAGGAAGGTGATGAGAAAGATGAGATCAGGAGCATGAAGAAGCACGTAAAGGAGCAACATCCAGGGCCACATCCTTGCCTTTCCTCTTCTCTCCAGCAGAAAAAAAAAAATCAGTGGTGAGATGCCCAGGTCCAGTCCTGCCTGGGGCTGAGTCCCCCCCCCCTCCATCATCCTCCTCCTCCTCGCTGTCAGCATCTCCTCTCACACCTCCTCATCTCCCCGCTCGATACCGGCCCCGCGGCCACGGCCAGGCTGACAGCAGGAGATGGATGGGGCTGAGCCAGCGCTGCAGGACACGTGTGAGGATGCCACGGACAGCCAGGGGCTTGGGGAGATGGTCCCTCCCTGGTTTGCATCCATTCCAGTCCCAAAACCCAGTGCCCTTGGCCACCCAGCACCCTATGGGGACCTGAGGGGTTCCTCTCCGTTACTGTGGCCACAGGGTGGGTTTTAAACCACCAAGTAGAAGTGAAGGCTGAGCCCTGCTTTGGGGGAAAAAGCCACCTCTGTGCAAAGCAGGGAGGGATTTCAGCCCAGTGCCACCATCACCAGGGTACCACGGGGGACAAGAGCACCATCAGCATCCCCATGGGGATGTCCCCTGTTCCCCCCAGAGCCCCAGCATCCCTCATCCCTCCCAAACACACTCCATGGTGGGCAATAAGGTGGTGCTTATTGCAGTTTGGAGGGGAATGGGGGGCTCTGGGGTAGTTCCTCTGCTTCCCCCCACCCCACCCCC